GCTACAATGGAGGTGAATGAGATGTTGAGTCCTCAGTTGGTTGGAGAGGAGGAATTAAGGGATGAGGATACCCTTTCGGATATTTCTGAGATTGGTTCTCAAAATATAGAAGAGATGTACTCATTGGATGAGATCAATGTTTTTTTTGGACACAACATTTGGTAAAGTGGTAGAGGTGAAAGATTTTTTCCCAGATGTGGAAAAATTAGTGTTTTCTGTGAAAGTACTGCAGCGCACAGCGAGTTATGATGTATTGAGTAAACAAAAGAGGTTTAGATTAAAGAAACTTGTTACGAAATTGAGGAAAAATAAAGGGCCGTCTCTTTTTAAAAAATAGTGGCTAAAGTGCACTGGGTGACTCTTATGATGTGTTATTTTTCTCTTTTTCTGTCTCTGTCCACTTTATATTCTAACTCTTTTATGGACAACTTAAGGGTGGGCTCTTTAAATATAAACGGAGGAAGAGATAGGACAAAATTAGCAGTGATTTCTGAATTCTTAAATATAAATCAGGTTAATATTGTTTTTTTGCAAGAGACTCATAGCAATGAGGAAAATGAAATTGAGTGGAATAGATGGTGGGAAGGGAAATGGCATTGAGTCATGGGACAAACAATAGTGCAGGAGTAGCTATCCTTTTTAAAAAAGGGTTGAATGTTAACATTTAAATATTGAAGAAATTGAAAAAGGAAGGGTATTATTGCTGAAAATACACTATGGGGAACATGTGTTTGTTTTAGTGAATGTGTATGCTCCAAATAATGGGGTGGAAAGAGTAAGAGTTTTTGACCAATTAGATAAAGCACTTCACAATTTTAAGACACTGACACTTGGTTAGTGTTAGGAGGGGACTGGAACTGTACTATTAATTCTGTAATTGATAGGAATGGTGAAGAGCCACATAGTCACTCTAGTAAATTTCTGTCTAATATAATGGGAAAATATGATTTAATGGATGTGTGGAGAAGAAGAAATATTGGTGTGAGACGGTATACATGGATTAAAGTTGCAGAAAATACGGTTAGTGGGGCTAGACTGACAGGTTTTATTTGAGTAAGTTGGTGGAAAACAGGGTAATGAGTGCATTAATATTGCCAAATGGTTTTTCTGATCATCATTTGATCTTATTTGATTTTAATATAAAACAATGTTCAAGACCTAGGTATTATTGGCATTTTAATGAGAAAATGCTTAAAGATGTGTCCTTTTGTGATAGTTTTAAAATGTTTTGGGAGAAATGGAAAGAAAGGAAAAGTGATTTTGAAAACCTTAGTCAATGGTGGGATGTAGGCAAGGTGCAAATTAAAGAATTTTGTCAAAATGTTTCTGCTTGTAATATTACAAATGTGAAAAAAAACTATACAGAGCTTGCAAAAGGAAATTGAATGTTTGGAAGAGGACTTGACGAATAATGAAAGAGCACAGGACAATGGTATGCTTTTAAGCAAGAAAAAGAAAGAACTTGGAACTGTGTTACAAGAACAAGTGAAAGGGGCACTTATAAGATCGAGGATTTGTTCAATCAAAGACATGGATGCTCCAACTTCATATTTTTTTAACTTGGAAAAAAAGACAGTTCAATATAAACAGATGCATTATCTTCGTTGCCAAAATCGAAATATAACAACAAATCCATCTGAAATGAGAAAGTTGGCGATGGACTTTTATTCTGTGTTGTACAGTGCAGAAGAATGTGATCCTGGTAGTGCAAAAGATTTACTAAAAGATTTAACGCAGTTGGAGCAAGGAAAAAGTCAGTTGTAGTTTCTGTAGTGCTGAAGAAACTATAGAGCATTTGTTCTTACAATGTTTGAGGCTTGGAGGTCTTCTTGAGTTGCTTGATTCTTGGTTTCAGGGGATTGGTGAGGAGTTTTCCCATAAAGTTTTTATTGGGGGACTTAAATACAAAGTGCTCGATAGAGGTAAACTGTGTTTATTAAATTACCTCAAAGCTTGCAATATGGAAAACAAGAAAAAACAAAGAGTTGAAAGTTGGTTCAACAAATGTAGAAATGATGTTGAAGTGTATGGTAAAAGGAAGGATAAAAATAGAATTTTCATATTATAAGCTGATTAATGATGTTGAAAGGTTTTTAAGAATTTGGGGTATAAATGAGGTTTTGTGTGTTTTTGATGATGCAGATTTATTTTTTACTTTTTAGTATATGTTTTAAATTATTTGTTGTTGAGGTAAAAGGATACAGGTAACAATGGTGTTGTAAAATCCTGAATTTAATGTAACAATAAAGATCTGTCCAAAGGCACAGGTGCTGATTCTCCCTTTATAATACTGTGAAATATTGGAGGTAAACAGAAGCAATTGGATGAAACAGAAGCGATTGAACAGAATCATCCAAAACAGAGAAAATTCAAGAAAAGACAAACATTGTATTGGAAAATAAAATTGGGGGACATGTGATAGAATTAGATGAACTCATAAATCATCTGAGCATAATAAGGATATACTGTAGTTACGCTTGTCAGAGCTTTTGCAGCACTTCGGAAAGCCAAGTTATAAATGTCAAATTCGGAGTGAAAAATATTTCCTCTTGATGTACCTAGCCCATTCATAATGCATTACTAATTTCTAAAATAACGTTTTATCTAATCCCTGTTCTCTAATTTCAACTTCTTTGCTCTTCAAGGCCTGCCAATGAACTGTACAAGCTGCTATATGGAGATTGAATGTTGATTTTTTTTCGGTCGCTGCATGGATAGTAGATGATAGAATATTAATAGACTATTAAGTGTGAAAAATGAGTTAAATAACAGATAATAAAAGTATTTGCAGTCGAATTGCAAACAATGTTCTTTGAAACAGGCCTCCCAATTGCAAAGGCCATACTTGTACATAAACATTTGTGACAATCGGCAGCTGTAGTCCCCTAAAGAGCCTCAGGAGGACACTCTTTCCCTGCTTATTATTTGCATCTTTTCTCTCATTCTCCATCTGGTCTCATTACCTTTGATTTTGTGCACCTGTGTTTGATTATCTTGGTTAGTGCACCTGTCTTAAGCCTGAGTGGCCTTTTGTCCATTGCTGAGTTTTGTAAGTGTCATACTGCATGCTGAGCGTTTTCCTAGTTCCTAGTTCCTAGTTTCTTGTTTCTTGTTTGTGTCATCAGTTTCACAGTTCCTGGACTCCCTGTCTGTATCTGGTTTTCCCGTTTGCCTTATCCCTGCATGGTATGTTTGCTGATCTGGACTGCTAACCTGGTTTTGACTTCAAAACAGAACAAAACAAGAAAAAAGAGAAAAAAAAAAGGGGGGGGGGGGTATTTTTTTTCTTTTGTGTAGTTTACCATAGATACAGTCGGTTGGTCTGGGAACGCCCCCGGGAACGCCCCGTCACGTGATGTGAATTTAGCCCGTGGTTACATCTACATCGTTTCTAATAAACATACAGAACTGGATAGGAGGACAAAATGGTAAAATTAATCATAACGTATTAGAGTACTGTGTGAGTAGAGATCCCTGTGTGATATAGTAGTATATGTTTAACTCGTATTAGGCAGTGGGCCAGATTTGTCTGACGTTACATCCCTTACGAAAAAGAACTATAGTAATCCTATGGCTATACGTTTTCTATAGTAGTGTATAATACTTCTGTGATGTTCTGTAATACCTTTGTACTTCTAGGCTTTGTCCCAAAATACTATAGTATTCCTATAGGATTAACGTTACTATAATAGTTTGTCCTAAAATACTACAAGATTCCTATAGATGTCTTTCATAAGGGATGTCTCATTCACATTAGCGTTATCAGATGAAGGTTATCAGCTCAATACAGACTGTAGTCTGTGAGAATTCGGATAACTGTCAGCAAAGTCCCTCTGCAACTTCGTAAGCTAGTAGCTTCTACTACTGATCACCGTTTTACAAAAGGATTAAAAGTTTGGAGTGAAGCACATACAATTGATAAGAGACAAGGTTTTATGCACTTATATTAACTTATACGCAAGTTGATAGAGTTATGGGCTTATGTTGCCGGTAGCTTCCGCGATGTCTTACCTGGAGATTCATCCAGATAACAATAGTCTGGAAACGACACCTCTGGCCATTTGGTTGGGTCATTGACCCAGTTTATAGTTAAATAAGAGCAATCATAACCTCTAGAGGTTCAAAGGGAGTCTCAACCAGACCCTCGAGGAATATAGTGATACAGGATCTGGTGATACAGCAAGAGGTAGGGAAGGACCCGTCTCTTGCTCATCACACAGATCCATGCGGGAGCCCCACGATGATAATGTGGGTGAGGTCTGGAAATAGTTCAGACGAACACGCAGCATTTTCACTGTGAACAGTTCACAATGCTCGCACTCGCCAGAACCGTGTGCTCCTCCACCAAACAAACAAAGCAGTAATCCTGTGTGTCCAGCTCAGACCTTGGACAGGATCGTAGAGGAACACAACGCTTACCGTGCTGTTGACTCATTTCTCTTCTTTTTTGACTTTTAAACTCTATTACTGTAAAAAACTTTCAGAGAAAAAGATTGAAAATTGAGAAGTTTCTGCACACTGCCAGTTAAAAACTAACTCCTAACAAAGATCTGTAGTCATATATAGAGTGAGAGAGAGAGTTTTGACACACACATGCACAGAGTGATCTGAAGAAAAAAGATCTTGACGATGCACTTGTGTCTAAAAGTTTATTTATAGCCTTGCGCCGTGGTTGCGCGCCAATGACGTAATCGACCGAGGCTATATTACCTCAAGGTCAATTCTATTGACGTGTTTTCACACTATATTCACAGCTGACCACAGGTGTGAATAGAAAACAAAAAATAGAATACATTTTTACATACATATTTTTTTTTTTACAATTTTGTGTGGGGGGAACACCCTAAAAAACATAGCAAGTCATACCCTCTGCTTTCAGCAACACCCTGCTAACCACCCAAACATGGCAGGGGGGATTTGCTGCAACAACTCTTCTTCAGAAAGTCTACAATAGTTGAAGGCATATCCTCACCCTTGTTTTATCTCTCTTTCTCTGACAGGCACCAGAAACTCCTCCTCAACCATCAGAAATAACATCACTGTAATCACTTCAGGGATTTTTAGGTTTTTGCACCAACAACTTTGGAAAATCCACAAACTGCAAGGGTTTGTCTCTTCATTATCTGCATTGGTGATATTTCAGAACTTTGTATTTTTGTTCAGTCTCTGATCCATCCCATGTGCTGATCCTTCACTCCTGATCCTTCACTCCCGTGTGCTGATCCTTCACTCCTGATTCTTCACATTGACCAAGATGAGTGTTTGTGGCCGTCTCGTGTGTTGTGCCGTCTGGCTCCTCGCTGTTCAGAACATGAGCTGGTCTGCTGACACGACCCCTGACACGACCCCTGACCAACCCCACAAACAGCCCACACACACACGGGACGCCATGCAGAGACAGAAACGCAACTGGGTTTGGAATCAGTTCTTTGTGCTTGAGGAATACACTGGGACGGAGCCGCTGTATGTGGGCAAGGTAAGACCTCTTCACTTGTTCCTCACATGGAAGGATTGTTTTTACAGAAGTTTAGTGTTTAGACTCATGAATAAGTTCAGTCAAGTGCTATACAAACTGGTAGTGGTATTTTTTTATTCTCTCTGTGCTACACTAATGCAATATTTGCTGCATAATTGGTATTAATTTCAGTAGGGTATTACAGAGTAGACTTCACAACACACAGAGAACGGCGTAAATCTTACAATATTAGATTATTTTTGCCATTTTATTTCTGGAACCTTTTGCCCTTTAGTAAACTGAAACTTTTGAGTAAAGTCTATTAATCCTGGCCTGGTCTTTCGTTGATATGATTGACAGCTGTTCACCACATGTTACCATGATGTCAAACAGTTGGGGCAAAAATCATTTCTTGCAGCTTTTAAAGAGATAGCAATCAAATGTTGGTGGCTTTTGTTTTCAAATATAAATAAATTGGGGATTTAAAGGATGAGGCTTCGTCAGTGCTTCTTAAACTTGTCCCTGTTCCCAGTGCACATGTGTGTCCATTATCAAACACACCCGATTCACTCAACAGGGCATCAGTCGAGTCCGCGGGATCAGGGAGACACAGAAAGTGGTGTGTTTTACTATTCGGGGTGTTTATTTAGGCTGTTCTTCTCATCTTCACTACCTCTATTGAAACAGCTTTGCATCATGGACGTTTGCCATTGCCAGCAGTACCAACCATACTTGGCACATTTCATCATAGTGTAATACATGCATTGTTTGTTGATGTTGAATCACAAATGGAGAGCATGAATGCACTTTTACTTCAAAGTATTCTGAAGCAGAACACAAATGCTCGTAAGGGCATGTCTGTGACCTTTTCTCCTGTTTTTTTGTGAAATGATAGAGCTGAAAGTTGACAACTCAACCACTTCAGACCGAAACAGAACAAGAGACAAAAACTGAACACGAAAAAGAAGGAAGGTGAGAGAGTGGATATTTCCACAGGCGAATGTGTCATTTGCATTTATATGATTTTTCCACGCTGACGTCCCTTAGGCAAGCCTGTTAGCAATGGCATCATGCCAAAGACTGAGATTAGATGAAGCAGCAGATAGATATTTCCTGGATAAACGTATGTAATGACAACCCTCAGACAACTTCAGAGCATGCACGCATTGTTCGAGGAACTGAGCTAAAGCTTGAGTTAATGTCTGAGAGGCACGAAGATCTGATGTGCGATTCGATTAACTGGATCTGGCATATCCCAAATGCAACAAAGAATGTATTCATGCATGTATGGATTTTGTTGGAGGTATTGATGAAATACTTATTAACGCTTTTGGGTTTGACTAATTTGGGAAAGGCTCTAATGTGTGGGAATACACTGAACCTGTCTTGAATCTGGGTTTGTTCATTGTTGGTGAAAGTTCATTCTTCTGTCCAGTGGACTCGTATATTTAGCTCGATTTCACACAGAGACTTGCATATTATGCATACGAGGAAGCACTTGTGGCTTTATCTTTATCTCTATAGATCTTTATCTTTGTCTTTATCTCATCAAAATGTAGAGCAGCATGTTAAGGCTTTTAACTCCACTTCCGTAAAGATCTTTAATGATTTTGCTCCTCCAAGGAATAAACACATCCAAGCAAACATCCAAGTCAGTTCCTTGGTTAAATGATGATATCAGGAATGTCAATGGAAGAATGCTGTAAAGTTCAAAGTTTCAAAATTCTGTGAAAGCAGCAAGGACAAAAATATTTTTCTGAGTTAATTGCAAAGAAATGCCTTTTATTTATTACCACATTAATTAGCACACCTGTGCTCTCAGCATGAGAGGAAGCCTATAGACACGTTCAGACAGAATGATCTGTCCATCAGAGAAGAGCAAAGAAGATCCCTCCTTCACCCTGAGTCCTCACAGCCAGGAATCGGGAAAACTGTGGGTTCGGGCTCGGACCTCTCCTCAGACAGCACACCAGACACACACAACATTACTCTATCTGGCTTATTTCAGATACACACACAACATTACTCTATCTGGCTTATTTGTAAATGTGAACTTGTGGAAACCCAGCAGTCCTAGTGTATGTTGAAGTTGGGCTTGAACACGGTCTCTAATGATGTTTGCCGCTTCACCCGATGGACGGACATAAGCAACACTGATCACAGTGTTCCCAAACTCTCTGGGTAGATATTAAGGTCTCAAACTTAAACATAAAAGTTCAATGTCTGGATTAAATACTGTGGGCTTTACTGTTGTATGGCTACACCATCGGCCAGATGTCACTGCCTTTGCTCTTCTCTGATGGACAGATCATTCTGTCTGAACTTGTTCCTCTTTCAGCGAGCTTGGCGTCTTCAGTCGAAGCCCAGCTTCAGTAAGATCCAGCATCCCGAGACCCAAAGCTGGCTCTAGCTTCTTGAATCCTTCTATTGCTCAGGATTATTGCAGGTAACGGGTTAGGGTTAGGGTTAGTTTGCAGGATTATTGCAGGGAACGGAGGTTTGCATCTTGGTTTTAGAATTGAGTATGAAATACTACTTCTCATGCTTTAATCATTCAAATGGTTTCAATCCTATCGTCCAATCACAACCCTTTGATAGATAGGACTACGCTGAAATCGATTGGCGAATGTGTTCTCGGCAGCGGCTCCTAAAACCGCTTCCACGTCTGCTGTTTTAATTGGTGGTTTATTAATTAAATAAAAATAGCTCGTTTACAATTGAGGTTTCAATGTTTGCTTTTATCAAAAATCATTTAGTTCAGTATAAATCCATGTTCCAGTTCTATTTGATGTTTAAATGTGCAGATCATTATGCATTTGTAGTTCAGACTGTTTGACACTTTCTACTGATGTCAAAGTATACTTTAAGGATTAGATCACTTCTGGCTGTTTTAATATAATTATTTAATTTAATTTAAGCAATGACTATATTAATGGCTCTTTTTTCACATCACAGATTTAGCATTTGTCTACACCTGACTCTCTTCTATAGTGTTTTCTCTGTGATAGTGTGATTGGTCTTCCCGCGCTCCAGAAGATCTATAATCAGAAGTGTATGAATCGGTTGTGACTTTGATGGGAAGCTGATTGGTCTGTGAGCGCTGAAGCTTGTCTTATCCTCAGCAAAGCTGTCTGAAGATATTTTCACATTTGCATTTGTAAAGGGCCGTCTGTAGATGCTTCAGAGCTACTGTCAGCGTATGATGCACATGGCTGACTGTGCCGAGCTGACAACCTGCCTCACCATCACTCACCTGCAGTCGGGTTCAGCACACAGCAAGAGCTTTCACTCAGACACATGGAAATGACCATGACCCTTTACTGACCATCTGATGGATATCGCACTCAAAAAGGCCAAAAGCTCCAATCTGATTGGCTGATTTTCAACTCCCAAAAGTCAGTGCACCTGCTTGAATTGGTAAATTACAGTGATGAGTATGTTGGACATTGATGTAAGGAAACTCTGACCATCACTAGATTTCTCTCAGGAGAGTCAGTCGAGTCAGAAAACATTCAAAGTAGGAATTCATCTCTGTAGTGGTTTTGAAATATTTATAAATTACTTAGTTTCTTGTCTTAGCTAGACAACATCTATTTAGCACATTTTATTTTATAGGGTTAGATGCATTTCTGAGCATAAATATACTCTACCTTCTGTTTTTTAGCTTTAATGTGGTTATTGAAAGGATGCTTGTAAGGCAGTATTTTATGGACCCAAACAATGCAGATATTTGACTGTTTACTGAATGGAAGATGACACTGCCTTCCCCCAGGACAAGAAGAAACAGAAGACATGATAGACCTGGTCGACTTTTCTTTTCTTGTTTTGGAAGGGGTACCAGGGGTTGCATATGTCGAGGAAGCGACACCGTTGTGTAATGCAGCCGAAGTTATTGAAGTCGTTGCGCACTTGTTCACGCAGACATCAGACGTCATCCGCTCGTTCACGTTCGCTGTGCAGACAGAGCGAGAACGGCAGTTCTTACGTCCGTTACTGTAGTGCTGTCACTCACTGTACTGTAAAGTCTCTCACCGGCGAACGACACAGGACAATAACGCTGTCTCTGCTCGTCTCGCTTCTGGTGTGTGTGTGTGTGTGTGCTTTGGAGGAGGCGTGGCTTTGGACGACTATTTACAGGGAGGGTGGGATCACATGCTTTCAATGCTAGCAGGCTAAATTTAGCATTTCCCAGATCACATCCTTCACTCATGGGAAAAAGCACATGGGAAAAAATTACGCAGTTTGAAAATCGTATAAAGTATCCAAACATACATAAAACAATCAAAATACTCATAAATATGAACAGAAAACACTCTTTACAAATGAATCTGTGTCTTTTATGAGCAATCCCACAAGTAATTGTAAACCGTTCGAGATGAAACTTTTAGTGCAGAGCTTACACAGAAACGACTCGCCCACAGCAGATCTCTTTAACTCTGCTGAAGATCGCTCGACCACAGTAGCCTATAGCGCCACCAGCCAATAGGAAGAGGAATCCCATTATTGCAGGATTTAATTAAACAACTCTCAACCTATAATATTTAACCCGTCACACTAAGAAAACTTCAGAGGTGAAATTCAAAAAGGTTTATTATAACTTCTCTGTAATAATTGATTGTACTGTTTTGTTGAAAAGCTGTAATACATTTATTGACATCTAATGTGATTAAACAGCTGTAGAGTGTGTTCTGGTAGTGTATAAGTGTGTGTGTGTGTGTGTTTGCACAGCTGCATTCAGATGTGGATAAGGGTGATGGAAGTGTCCGGTACGTGTTGAGCGGGGAAGGAGCGTCTTCAGTCTTCACGATCGATGAGGACACAGGAGACATCCATGCCACCAAACGCCTGGACCGAGAGGAACAGGGTTATTACACGCTGCGCGCTCAAGCCGTGGACCGCCACACTAGCCTCGCGCTGGAGGACGAGTCGCAGTTCATCGTGAAGGTCCAGGACATCAACGACAACGAGCCCCAGTTCCTGGACGGGCCGTACGCCGCACGAGTGCCCGAGATGGCTCCTCTCGGTACGTCTAATCGAATCTTTGCTCGTCTTCAACAGCGTATGATTACTTTCTTAGACGGATACCAATAAAAATACATTTAAAAATATCCTAGAACTACCATTCAAAAGTTTGGGATCGTTATGATTATTTATAATGTTTTTAAAGCAAGTCTCGTCTGCTCTCGAAGACTGCATTTATTTCACACACAAGGGCTGTACAAAAAAACTCGTGTGTGTGTGTGTGTGTGTGTGTGTGTGTGTGGACACTGCTTCACTGATTCAGGATCTGACATTGCTAGTTTAAAAAAATGTCTAATGTCTAAATAGAAAACATCATGTTAGAACAAGGAGAGATGAAACGGGCTGTTTAGACCCCAACTAAAGAAACTGATGTACAGAATGAGATTATTACAAAACTCCTGTGGGTTAGGAGATGATCAGCTTTTTCTGTGTTCTCAATATTTTAAGGCACAAAATTGGTGCTTTTACTCCCAAGATGCAGTGAGCCACTCAATGTGTGTCAAATATTGGAAACTGCCAATCAAAATACCCAAGAGCTCCCAATCAGTCACATGGCAGGTGTATTCAGTGTGTGTGAATCAGTCACATGACAGGTGTATTCAGTGTGTGTGAATCAGTCACATGACAGGTGTATTCAGTGTGTGTGGATCAGTCACATGACAGGTGTATTCAGTGTGTGTGGATCAGTCACATGACAGGTGTATTCAGTGTGTGTGGATCAGTCACATGACAGGTGTATTCAGTGTGTGTGAATCAGTCACATGACAGGTGTATAAAGCACTGATGGCACATGCAAGTCCTGCACCGAAGCATTACATCAATGACAGAAACCTCCTGTAATAACTCTGGTATTTGATATCAGTAACTAAAGGGGAATCTGAGGGGATGCAAGCCTAAAAAACATTGTGAATTCAGTGTTTCGCTCATTTCCTAGACACAATAAACCACAGTCTCACAATGTGACTTTTGTGTTGATTCTTGTGTACAGAAAACAGAAACCAAACTAGTGATCGTAAGAAAATGAGATATAGTGATCATAACGGTCAAATTTCAGCTCTTGTTTGGGGGAGGAATATGAAAAAGTGTCATCTCCTAAAATTAGTGGAGATATATTTATTTTCATTACTGAGAGATGACAGTCGGCTGCCTGGAGCACAGAACTGATGGAAAACCACAGACATGCATTTCTAGTACACAGAAAATGAATGGAAACCTGAGAATGTGATCATTCACTGTAATGAAGATGGACAAATGAGGGATGACAGAGAGAGAGAGAGAGAGATTAGACTTCAGCTGCATAGTGTGTGTGTGTGTGTGTGTGTTGTGATTTACATGCAAGGCAGTGAATGTGTAAAAAAAAGCTGTTGTTGGATTTATTGTACATTCCTAAAGTTTGTTTTTATGATTTGCTTTTTGTAGTAATCAGGTTAAAAGCATCAGTACTCCCTCTGCAGCAATTCTGTGACTTTAATCACTTATTTCAGACAGACTAATATTACATTAAGGCCATATCAAAATGGAACAATACCTCATCTTTTCTCTGTGGCGTTTTCATACTGTTTTCTTCCATATGAAATGTCTTTGACTTTGACCCATGCAATGTGTTTCGTTTGAGATGAAAATAACAAACTATATATTAGCTTACTCTAATGATGTGGCTCCCAAAGACAGAGTCCTGAAGCAGACAGCACAAGCTCATGCTCAACAAACGCTTCCGGTTTTTAGCACATCTTGCTTAAAGTGGCTTTTGTTTATTGTGCAAAATGGATAGAGAATAGTCCCGATATCTTTGCCTAGATAAGCCCAATTATTTTTCTAGATATCTAAAGCTTTGTGTCTTGTTTTCTTTTCATGGTCAATTCATTTAGTAAAATACAATACATGCAATTTTTTATTTTGTGCAGCACTTTTACCTGGCCTGACTACGTCAGACTTCCTACTTCCGCTAATTTCATTTCGCTCCTGTAGTCAGTCTGAGATAGCAGCCTATCAGTTTACCAGCGGTCTTCAGAAGGCCGGCCAATCAATGAACAGAGGGCGGGCTGAGAGCCGTGACATAGATGCTAAGCCCCGAGGTTTACATTGTAGGCTAGAGAAATCAAAAACCAAAACGACCGTGGAAATGAGAAACGAGACACGGGATGCATGCATGCAACTTTCTTTCCCAGTCCTTAAATATTTCCATGTCATGCTGTAATCTTGAAATTAAGTTGCAGCGTTTCCGACAGACTCGTGAAGAACAAAGAGCTGTGTTTAAAAGATCTAATCCTAAGTTTGAGAGTTGGCTACACATATTTTCTGGTTTCACTCTGGCAAAAATAAGTTTAGGGGCCGTGATTGTACCGTGGATGCGTAGATTAACTTCGCATAATCTACAGAAGTTGTTTCCAGCCATGTTCATCAAGTGTTTACATAGACGGTGGGCGGAGGGGAGATTTCGTGTTTTCAGACGATCTGTGTGGCTGGAAAACCCAGTTTTTTATAAAGAAAAATTGATACTTTGCACATCACTATAATATCTGTAACTGTCTCCGGGTTATTTTCCCGGCGAATAGAGCAGGCAGGGGTCCGACATGCATGACGTATTTGTTGTGTGTGTGTGGGAATGTGTTGGTGTTGGTGACGGCGGGTTTGCCAACACACTGGCACGCTGATATGAAGTTGCTGTCTGTACACATCTTTTCGAGAAGTGATTTTAACCCAGGAAAGATTGAACTCGTTAAATCATTTTGCCCACTTATGCTATATATTCAGTTTGGCACAAAATGTGAATGTAGAGGGAACATTATTCATTCTCATTGTTTTTATCTTATGTAACCATCTTTTGTCTTACGATGTCCTGTCATTTCATTGTAATCTTTAATAAATATAAGTTCTGATTTCACATATTTAATCCATGGTATTGCTTGGACAGACATCAACATAAAAAAACAACCAAAAAAAACAACAACCAAAACGATTTGCCAAGGAACAATTTACAGATTAATGAGACCAAAGATCGCCTGTTAGGCATGACAAGATCGCCTGACATCAAACGCCAGAAGCTTTAACAGTTGAAGTTTGATCATGCATTTGAGGTCGATGCATGATGTCTGTGGTTCGATGCGGCTGTGTCGGCGCATAACATGCATCATAAGTAAACTAATAAAATAATTAAAACTAGCAAAATAATTTTAAACTTCAGAGAAGCGCCCCCCTAGTGAGAGAGAAAACACTTCTCTAGTATGCCATTCCAGACTCTGTCTACGAAGCAAAGTGAAGTAGAGACTGGCATTACCAGGCTAGCTTTTACCTACTATTACCAAAAACTCTGCTTCCCCTTTGGGGGTTCAGCTTGATTCAAGTTGGCGATGGGGTTTATTTGGACTGAATCTTTTCTCAGTTTCATTTTTAATGTCACTTTCACTCAAGACACTATGGTGGTCTCGAAGTGCACAACAAAACTAAATTGATATAACTTTCATGATATATTGAGCAGACAACTGGGTGAACTAACAGGCTTTTAGTTCCCTTTCGTCCTGGGAACGCCGACGTGTCGTCGGGGGAGTTGCCTGACGAATTGGGATCACACTAGGGAGCCAACTGCCTTCGAGAGATTAAAAACGAGACAATAAACATTGGCATGCAAGATTTGCATTCTGCGAGTATAAAAGGCGGAAGTAAACATTGCATGACGCTTTTTACTTCGGAGCCTCACAGAGTGTTCTGCTGAGCCACTGCAGTTTCGAAAAGGAAGAAGACGAGTCTTTGGAAAAAGATGTCCTCTCGGTGTTGCTGGTGTGACGGCGCTTCAGCGGCCATCGCGACTGAGTGCAGTTTCCCTGTGATCTGCCGCGATGATCCCTCGGCGCTTTGCCGTGTGAGAGCACTTTTTTTTCATTCTTTCTAAGAGAGCTTTGTGGGTGTGTTCGCGTCCTTTTCAGGATGTCTTCTCACCTGTGCGTTTCTGGATGCGGTCGGCTTCTCCCTCAGGAAGATGGTCACAAACACTGCCTCTTGTGCTTGGGCTTCGTGCACGCTAAGGCAGCGTTTGTGGAGGAGTCATGTTCTCATTGTGGGAATATGACTCTTGCGATGCTGTGTTCAAGACTGAGAACCCTGAAACATGTGGGAGTCCCTTCAGAAAATTCCCCAATCAGAAGGGGAAGGCTGTCTCCAAGCAGAGGTTAGCTCACTGGTTAGTGGATGCTATCACTTGAGCGTATGAGGCTATGGGTGATGCTTGTCCTCCCAGGTTGCGCGCTCACTCTACTCGAGGTGTTGCTGCTTCCTGGGCTTTGGCTCAAGGCGCCTCGCTGACAGACATTTGTAGAGCTGCGGGCTGGGCGACACCGAACACGTTCGCTAGATTCTATAGCCTACGTGTAGAACCTGTTTCCTCCTGAGTACTCGCTACAGCCAGTGGTGCGAGGGAATAGGTTGTGTCGGCTTGCTGCGCCACTCCGTGCCTAGGCTGGATATGCGTGTCTTTTTGCTCCGTTGGCGCCCTACGTGTGCCTCATGAGTTCCTCCATCACCCGTCCGGTGCCAGGTGTGGCGGACCGCCAGGAGCCAGGTCTGCTACCTCTAATGGAGTTGTTTGTAGATTGGGTGTTATGTCCAGTCGTTCTGTCGTCCCTGTTGAGTACGCTCCCACTTTCCTTGGATTGGGACTGCCATATGTTCACTAACCCTCTGGGCTAGTACATGTGTGTATTCCAGGCCTTCATCAGGCGGCTGGCTTCCGCAGCGTGTTTTGACTTCTTTCCGTTGTGACTTGATTTCATTGTGTTGTGAACTAATGTTTTCTTTTAAAACTGTGTTGTGCAGTGTTTCCCACAGAATTAGGTTCTATTTGCGGTGGTGTGGTGTTTGGGGACCAGGGCCCGGCGAGGGGGGTGAATAAAGGACAAAAGCTTAGGCCGTGCCACAGGGGCCTATATGTATTGTAATAAGGCAAAAAGTCAAACTTTTAGGCATGTTATCAATAACCTTTATTGGAATATAAATGTACATAAGCTTAGCTGTTGTACCCAGGGCAGGCTTAGTAACAAATACCCTTGTATGGTTGTCTTCTCTATATACACTAAAACATTCTGTTGTGTTGTGGCTTGTTTCTGATGTGTTGTGATTGTTTTCTTTTTCAATTCCATTGTGTTGTGCACTACTGGGCCATCGTAAGACACAGCATTGCCATGGTGCAACTCACATCACATCCTGTACATTGTTTCCTGATGCTCACTAGCGTGTTGTGTTGCGTATGTTCTGCACAGGCACGACGGTGGTTCAGGTGACAGCGACGGATGCTGACGACCCCACTTACGGCAACAGCGCCAGAGTTGTGTACAGCATCATACATGGACAACCTTACTTCTCTGTGGAGCCCAAGACAGGTAACTGTCCTGTTTGGCTTATATTTCAGCCATTCATCATCTCTGGATGAGTCGTCAGTGCAGCGAAAATTCTTGGATATTGAGTGAAATCTAGCGAGGTGTTAGTAATAGCTGAGACATCTCTTCATTTGGCCTAGAGAAATAACCTTGGAGGGGTAGGGACTAAAGAAGGAAGGATGCCCTTCTCTCATTGTCACACACTGCAGGCAATTTGTATGACTGTTGACCTTTCCTTGCAAGGGAATAAATCGTCTTTAAAGACAATTGGTACATGTTTGTCTCTTATTCAGTAAAAAAAAAAAAAAAATGTTTGCCACCACATAAGTTAAAGAGATAGTTCACCCAAAAATGGAATAACCCTAACCCTAACAATTGGAGTTATTTTTGTCTTGGCTCTAATGAGAGTGAATGGCATTTTGACTTCGGAAGTCCATTAAAGTGCATATATTCATGATAAGAGTGCTCGACACGGCTCTGCGGGGGTTAATGAAGGTCTTATCTACTAAAATAACTTGCTTCTGGCAGACGGTTGTACGCAACAAGCAGAAACTCAGGGTTCTCAACAAAGGACTATAAACACAAGCCAGTAGTTCAGCCAAACATTCCCTCTACCAAACAAACTCTCTTCCTCTATGGTAGGTGGGTCGCATTTTATGACATCATGTCCTGTTTTTTCATGGGGCGGCAGTGGCTCAGTGGTTCATGTGGGTTGTCTATAAACCGAAAGGTTGGTGGTTCAATCCCCGGTTCCACCTGACCAAGTCTCGAGGTGTCCATGAGCAAGACACCTAACCCCAGCTGTGTGTGTGTGCGTGTGCGTGTGTGTGTCCCCTAATCCCAACTGCTCCTGACGAGCTGGATGCCATCAGTGTATGAATGGGTGAATGTGAGGCAAGTGTAAAGCGCTTTGGTGGCCATTGGGTCTGTGAAAGCGCTAAATAAATGCAGTCTGTTTTGGTTCTTGTAGATTTCTCTGGTTCATGTTGCGTTCATATTTCAGTTAGTTTAACAGGGGTTTGAACTCTTCTCAGGAGTCTTGGTTTGCTTGTTTGGAGGCACCAGGGTTCAGATGACACCGTTAACTCGTGCTCATATTGAACCGCACTAACAGGACAATCGCACCGAGTTCATTTTAATTAAACCAAACCTGCCATAAGTGAAACCTTTAGATTTAATGAGGAGCTCATTCAAAATACAGATTCATCTAACAAAAAAAAAAAAATCCAAAATTCAACCACAAAAACGATGACAGGACACACTGTGCTGCACACATGAAACCCACATTCCTTTATATAGACACGCCTTTAATTCATCAGCTTTAGACTTTTAGACAGAAAACTTCGGATCATCGTGAGGGTACCATTAACTCTTAAAGCAATTAGTCTCTGCAAGGAAATGTGTATCTTCATTGTATTAAAAGCTGAGCTAAAATCAATAAATATGATTCTGGTTTAATGTGCTCTGCAGTCTGCTGAACATGTACTGTATATATATAACCCTAAATGTGAACAAAAGTAATAGGGATCTTGCCTTGGCAAACACTAAATTACATCAGTATATGACAGAAGCACTGACTGTTGATCCACTGTGAGGATGATTCTCTCTCTCTCTCTCTCTCTCTCTCTGTGTGTGTGTGTTCATACCTGCTGCATTCTCATTACCCAGCATCCTATGCTCTCCGGCTGCCACCTGCAAAGCACTCTGGGATGAGTCTCAGACAGAGGCTGTAGGTCTGCTTGTTAGGAGTGTGTCGAGCGTCTCATTATTCTCTGATGCCTGTGGTGTTAACCAACACGTCTGCATGCTCCATATCATTGTTCATCTGTCATAAACTTTTTCCTTTTGATTCAGCTGAGGTCCCACATCTGAGGAGTTTTATAATGTTCCCGAGGCATGGTAGATGACACACACACACACACACACACACACACACACACAGATATGTGTTGTTAATGCTTTTTAGTTATTAGACTGGCTTTTCTCGCTCTTTCAAGCTAACCACGGTCATATGAGCTTCATCTTGGGCCAGGCGTACATGGAGCTGTTCTGACAGTCGAGGTGTTGATCCTCCACACAAACAATCACAACATCTGCGCTATTCCAATCTTGCAATCTTGCCATTTTGACATTAAAGAGGACCAATTTTTTAATCTTGATGTGTTCAGACTCTCCTAGAACAGGTTTCCCTGCTTGAATGTTGATTATTCTCCTCATATTCTCCATTGTTGCGGCTCCTCTCTTCCCAGTCTGTCAGGAACGCTCTGTTTACTTCCTGTCTCTATGAAGCCCCTCCTCCTGAAAAACACACTGTGCTCTGATTGGTCGGCTGGATCAGTGTGTTGTGATTGGTCAAGCGCTTCAAGTGTGTTTTGGAAATGCCCCGCCCCTTTCCATAACCGCCACTTTAACACACTACTAACTAACTCAACCAGGCCCCGCCCCTTTATTCTGCGCATTAATTATTATAATGAGGAATATTGTGACGTGTTCCCGGGAGAAACTCAAGACTACACTGGAGGCGTTTCAGCAGTTCAGGAACACTGACACTCATATAGAGAAGAGCTGGAGCTTCTCATGATCTAACAGCAAAAAGCAGAACAGAACTCATTTAAGTTAAGAAATATATTTGATATGAGGCCCGCTTCAACGGTGCCAAATTATTTTAGTTCACTTTCAGATCAACTGCACTTTAGACATGATCAATACAAGATGCCATTACTGACAGCATCTCATCAATCATTCATAACGCCTGACCGACAGATGTGGCCACATTTACCAATTTGGCAAAATGGTGATAATTTCTTTTAGCAGGCATTTCAATTTGGAAAAAACATTCCTAAAAAATGTGCAGATGATCAGTACAAGGGGTATAGACATTAACATTGAAATGTTTCATATTTTTGGTCTCAATCAATTATTACACCCAAAGTTCCTATTCCTAAACTATATTATAGTATAATACAGTGGTTCACAACTTTGTGCGCCGTTGATAACAACTGGTATAATGGATATAGTACCCGTATGTATCTATGTCAATTACCCAGCCCCATTGTTTGGCATATTTAATGTTTTATTATTTTGTTTATTTCGAGGAAAAGCCTTTAAAGGGTAGTGATGTGACTGTTACACACACACACACACACACACACACACACACACATTTATAAAATCAGTCTGTCTGATCACAATATCTGATTATTTTGTCGGTTGCAGATAAATGAAAAGTAAAATGTTAGTTGAGGTTTTAATACTTAATGATTCAAACATCCTCATCTGTACATTTTATTAAGAAACAATAAAGATGCAACTTCAATGGAGTAATCTGGCACTGTAAATGAAGACATTTGTGAATTACTGTATATATATACATTGTCACAATCTCACTCCTGTGTGTTTCCCTCGGCCCGGCGCACCAGATGCTAAAGGGGTTTTGTCTACTTGGAGCGCAACAATTTATTCTAGTACACATTTACTTAAGTACATTTTTGGGGGAAAAAAAATACTTTTAAGAGTATTTAAAAAAGTAAAAGTAATTTCAGTCTTACTCAGGTACCTTTCCTAATGATAAAAATTTAATTGAATGAATGAATGAATGAAGCATTTATCTAGTGCTTTCATGTTATAAATATATAGTAGTTCTTAGTTACGTTAGGTGACATTCCTGTCGCTACTTTATTCTTAATGCAAATGCTCAGTCTCCTTTGGATGGATGAATGGATCTCCCGATTCAGTCGATTATTTCAAAGATCAAACATTCATCAAAACGCATGCGAGGACATAATACGGACAAAACATCCCTATAGTTCATGCTTCATTGACTTCATTATCATCATGCTTGTTTTGAGTCAGATCCGAAGTAACTAGTAACTTGCTACTTGAATAGTCTTTTCAACTCAAATAATCACTAACATTATCACTTTTGCTTCTGCTTACGTTATTCTTCTACATGACATTATTTCTGTAACTTTTTCCCACCTCTGATGACCTGTACACATCTACCACCAGGACCAGATAGATTCTCAGACAAGTTTTATAAAAATCTTCTGTAGAGAATTTCAGCAATACATATTTTTATTGTTTTATTTTATGCATACTTTTTTTTTTCTTCTGTAAAATATCAATCCATTATTGGTTTATGTAGGAGCACCACACATGTTCAAACAGCATTTCAACAGAATGGCAAACATATTCACGCTGTGGTTGATTTGTGTAATCCAAAGATGTTTTAGATTGAATTACATGTTTTTCTTTGCACATCAGTGTATATTTCTAGAGACTAAATAAAGGCTGTTTCCCTCAGGCATTATCCGGACAGCCCTGCCCAACATGGACCGAGAGACGCGTGACCAGTACGTACTGGTCGTTCAGGCCAAGGACATGGTGGGTCAGATGGGAGGCCTGTCCGGCAGCACCTCTGTGACGGTCACACTCACCGACGTCAACGATAACCCTCCGCGCTTCTCTCACAGTAAGAGCTCAACATGTCTGACCTCTGACCTCTGATGACGAAGGACATTGGCTGGTTGTGGAAAGTGAATATGATCTAATTTTCCTCATTAAAAAAAACACGTGGTTTTCAGTGTGAGACACATATTAATGCGCCATACACAGTCCATCTTAACCGGGTACCAAATTCCCTTTACATTTCAAACTCCTACAACTCTATAAATCAATATATATACAGTATATACTGTATATATACTTTGTATATATATATATGAAAATGCAGGTTGTGTGATGCAACAAGTCAAGTCACCTTCATTTACTGTGTATAGACGAATCCGGCGAAACTACCGGAAGTAAGCGGGGAGCCATTACTGAGCTGTTGCTGGGTAGCGTTGCGCCATTGCCTCCTATTGTTTTAGTTGCAACTTGCGTCCACTGGAATAAACAGCCCACGATTTACGACTGTCACTAACGTTACAACGTTATCCCTTGTATAATGTCGAGTGGGTAAACAGTTTCCGTTATAAATTGTTTCAATGGTGGCAGTAAAATTTCAATTTTGAAGAGAAAACACTGTGAATACCCCGGGTGGACTGCCCCTGTCTGGTGCCGTACGGTTTACAGATTTCCTGGGCGAGTACAAGACTCGGACATTCGCGTATAATAACAATTATTTAATGACATAAGTAAAAAAAATATAATAAATATGTGATATAGTGATCAGCAAAATCTCCTCTCTTGCTATTTTTTCTATTAAATTAACATGCTATGGTCATTAAATGGCTTTCCTGAGCTAAATGTAACGTTATGTAACATAATTGTTCTCCTGCTGTTATATTGACCTCTTTCCATGGTTTAAAAACACTAATTGGTCGATATTATGTATACTTTCTAGCTGTAACGTTACCTTACCCTTGCCTGTTGCAATGTGAAAATGAGATAAATAATGGACACAAATGAAAAACATGAATTTGTTTATTTGATTTCATTCATTTATTTATTTATTGTTGCCAAATGGACAGATCTTTTTATAGTTTCCTCGTTAGCAAACGTTAGCCTAGCTAGCTTGCCAAGCTATTTTCATAAATAACGTTAATCTGTAAGATCGTTTGTACCTTCATCTGTGACTGGAGGCCACTGCAGTCACAGATCAAACCAACAAGTCATTCTGCCTGGCTGTAGCTGTCATCGAGGGTGAGTTCGCGTTATCACCGAGGTTTGTTTACATACCGGTGCATATGTCTATATGCCTGTGTAACAGCTCAGTAATGGCGTCGCCACAAGATGGCAGCCTACACAGAACGCTCATCGGATTCGTCTATAGTGCATGAAGGTGATTTAATTTATTTAATTAATTTATTTACTTATTTATTTATTTACTTATTTAAATTTGTTTGAATAGGGACAAGTATGTTACATAAGCTCATGTTCCCAACTACAACATTTTAGCAAGGCTAATTCTCAATGATAGTCCCTAGTGGGCCTTCAAATAAAATTACACAATACATAGTTGAAATAAACATAATAAAACAATATAACACGGTATAAATGCAGCGGACGATCAGTGGTCACATTTCTGACCTCTGATTAAAGAGTCTTTTTTGAAGAGGTCCCAGTTTGTCTCTCCCTTCAGTTCAGTGGGTAACCAGTTCCAGGCTTTAGTGCCTTGTACAGAGAAAGCTGTTTGTCCAAAAGAAGTGCAGCTTTACAGAGATAATAGGAAATGAATGCAACAAAGATTGTTTGGGCAGTTCTAGAAGAAAGTCATTATCTAGAGTAAGTAATGTTTTTAATAGACTCATTTTCTTTGTAAGAATCGTTAACTTAGGGATGCTTACACAACACCATTTTCAACTGAAAAGAGAAATCTTTTAACGTGTTCTGGCCGTTCATTTACACGACAAAAGCGTTTTGGTGGCCTGAAAACACAAACTTTGAAGTAGAATTCAAAGTGCAAGTGTAGGGAAGTGGGTTTTCGTGCTCCACTCCCTGGACGTGGTATGGTCCAAGATAAAAATGATGGCCCAACTCGCAAATGCACTATGGTGCAAAATGATGGTTTATTTACATTGAGGTGAAACTTATTTACAAGTGAGTCCCGAACTGTACAAAAATAATCAACTATTCACCGGCAAGAATAGGATAACTAAACAAAAATAAAATAAACAAAATCAGGTAAACACGTATCCACAATACACGGTTTCACACCATCACTTCATGATTTGATTTGTTCATGGCACCACAACTGCACACTTACACATCAGCCTACCAGGAGACCCTGAACACATATTCAGCCACTCTTTTATACTGTTGGCTCCTCCCCCTATTGGAGCCAACCATTTACCAAAAACCAGGGGAAATATGAAATTTCATAGTGCTTAGGTACTACATAAACTTGCACTAATAAACATTAAACATCAATATATACCCATAAAATGCATACCAACATCAAGTAATATTATTTTAAAACATAATTTAACTATGGACACAAAAACATTTCCCACATCACATATAGTACCAGGCCCGTCGCCAAGGGGGGGCATTGGGGGGCAGTGCCCCCCCAAACGACTTACTGTGCCCACCTACGCATGAGCTTGACATTAAATGTTAATATGTATATGCTAATAATTAAATCGAACGGAGGTCGGTCTTTCTGCATAACTTATCTCACAGGAACGGTAAGCTCTACAACGGTAGGAATGTATAATACATTATCTTCACAAATGATTTAGAAATTCATTATTCAACGCATTATTACACAGAACGTAACTTGAAATATAATTATTTTCATAAATGACTGTTAAAACATCCCAAAACAGCACCCAAACCTTGCAAAGACCTACCTCATTAATTATTCACATTCAACAGCCAATGGCAAGTCTCCAGCAGCAGACCTTTCAATTTGTTATTTTTGTGTTAGTATTTTTACTTCTTCAAATTACAATATGCAGTTTGTGTTTAAGGATAAATAAATAATATAAACAATGCAATTTATTTAGTTAAGCATACAGTATTGTTTATACGTAATTCCTTTGCGCAGCTGCGCAGTGCATGCGATCGGAGAATCAAATTCTGGTGGTTTTGTACATAGTCTATGGTTTTGTACGCTTACAGCAAAGCTTATGCTAAGTGGTTTAAAGTTTCGTCGTTGACAAAGACGACTTTTGACCAACAACAACGTGCGTGGAAACGACTCTGGAGCTAATTAGATGGTAGGAACAGACAGTATAAGAAAGGTAAGAATAGAGAATTTGTCTGCTACATTGCTAAATTTGTATTGCAGTATGTTATGCATTGCTTTTATTATTGCTGTATTGTTGGTGGAAACCAGGTGCTTTTGTGTGTAGAGTCATAAATCAATTTGGTTTTGACGTAGTTTTACTTAGTTTGGACTTTGGACTAATGATATTACGTTGATTGCGCCTTTTACAAGAAAGCCACTAGATGGCACTGTGTTGTGTATGTGACGAACTATGCAGATTAACAAAAAATATAGGCTACTAGGCTAGCAAGCTTTATGTGGAAATGTTAAGAGAAAATAAACAGAGACGTTGAGATCATACAGTGAAGTATTTTATTTAAATAAAATGAATAAAACAAGACTATTGTGGTCTATTTTAGTTGAAGCCTAATATGGGTTGTTGTTTTGGTCTGTCTCAGATCATTAAAAAAAGTGTGCCCCCCTATGAAAATTAAATGCCCCCCCAATTGGTTTGTTCTGGCGACGGCCCTGCATAGTACCCTCTGTTCCGGGTGACGCCATTATTGCGGAGACGCGACAGTGCGCTATAAATAGCCCACGATACCAACAATCACGTTCAATCTGTCTCTTTCACAACCAACATCAACTCATCCTGAACAGGTAAATCCATTTGAACATATGTATGCGTGTATATGTGATGTGAGCTTATTGTAACAGGATGATGAGTACTTTGAGTTTGCATGATCAAATGCTATGTGTCTCGTGTGCACCCGGACAATAGCGATAACAGGAGCGGCAAATTTGAATGTGTGTGTGTGTGTGTGTGTGTGTGTGTGTGTGTGTGTGTGTGTGTGTGTGTGTGTATGTGAGGGAGAGCCAGTGCCAAACTGCTGTCAGATTAGGTCTCCTTCTTTACAGCAAGTTTTTGAAAATGGGTTTTGAAAGCGATACCGTTATCATCTTCGTGTAAACTTAAAAAATATGTTTCTGTGAAAACAGTGACGCATGAATTATGTGTTTAGTCTATAGGCATGTGCGTCTGAATGCAGATGTGCGCAGTCATTTTTTACAAAGTGACATTGCCAATGACTTGTCTGGCTGCATAATACAGTGTTTTTAGTCGTTTATAAGGATGGGTGTGAATGGGAAGCATTTTGATAACGTTTTTATCTGTACAGACAGAGGATACATTTTTGTAGTGAAAAAAGGGTATGAAGAGTATTCTTCTTATGATGTACGGAGTATACGGGTGTTAAAGGACGTGTTCCAGGTTCCTGCTGACCTAATTTATGCAGCCTTCCCAATTTTGTCATTGAAAGCATATATCGTAATTTTTATATATTTTTAAGATGCAAGAATGTGGTTTTACAGATGCTATAAACATGGCTTACAAATGAAAGATTGCTATCAAAGAGCACACACACACACACACACACACACACGCACACGGGTTCCTAACCGAAAACATGTGCAGTGTGTGTGTGTGTGTGTGTGTGTGTGTGTGTGTGGCATGTACAGAGTGAACAGCAGCGGTCCTAGTACTGAGCCTTGTGGTACGTCATACTGAACGTGTGATGGATAAGACATCTCTTCATTTACTGCTACACACTGATAACGGTCAGATAATAATGATTTAATGCAGTTCCACAAACGCCAACATAGTTTTCTAGTCTATTTAAAAGAATGTTGTGGTCAATGGTGTCAAATGCAGCACTAAGATCGAGTAACACTTATAGAGAGATACGACCACGATCGGATGATAAGAGCAGATCATGTGTGACTCTAACGAGAGCTGTCTCGGTACTATGGTGTGGTCTAAATCCTGATTGAAAATCCTCACAGATATCATTTCTTTCTAAAAAAGGAACACAGCCGTGAGGATTCTGCCTTTTCTAATATTTTTGACAGAAAGTGTTTCGAGATCAGCACTGATTCTGTAGGATCAAGGCAACAAAAGGATAAGCTCTTATAATAAAAAAAGCTGTCTTAATTGCAAGCATGTCATTGTGGAGTCTAGTTCATCTTTTTGAAAAGTAATCAGACACACATTAACAGAATTTACACTTTAAATGTGTTTCTAGTAAAAATATTAATCTCTGTGCATTAACCAAATAACAAAGTAACAATTGAAATTAAGTTAGTAATTGTACATACAATTGCTTTGTAGTACGGTACTCCAAACACTGGTCATTTATCATTATTTTCTGGGAAGACACTGCTTCTTTGTTTGCTCATTGATTAATGAGTATCAGTTAAAATGTACTTTTCCCACCCGCCATGAGAGCATTAAAGCGTTCAGTGCAGATGTAATAGAGCCAACCGGGTCTGACACGTGTAGATCAGATCATGATGCATCCTCCAGTTCTTCCTCTACCGTATCACACACAACCGGCCTGCAAAAAACACAAAACTGCCTTTCGCGCATTGGGAGTTGGGTTGTTACCTGGTTTGCATAATTTGTTTTTTGTAAATTGGATGCTGAAAGAAAGAAAATGTGCTTTTATTTGATTGTGATACTAATTCAAGTAAAAGCAACAATTATTTTGATGAAGTGGTTGGGATCAGTGTTTGTTTGCTGGTGTCTGTTGCATGTTCAGCTAATGCCTGATTGAACACTACACTGATTGTTCTACTTTATTAGCTAATGTTTTGTTGGGTTGGTGAGGAATGTCTGAAATGATAACTCTGTTCTGTCTGTAAGTAGGCGTCTTTAAACTCTTGTCAATTAAAATGCAGGAGACTGACCGGTGTTAGCACACATCTATGTCTGTGTGGATGAAAGCTTTAGTGATGGGGAGAGAGAGACGGAAGTGACCTTTACTGCTCCCGAGTCTAGTCACAATAAATGGATCATGGCTGACTCCCTGAGACAGAAGTAATCAAACAAACTGAACTTGGGGTTAGATATGAGACGTCTGTCTCTCCAGGAAATGTGCTTCTCTCTTTTTAGGAAATTGGCTCATAACCAGGACCTAATTTACCTCATATTGTAACATAGAATAAATGAATTTAAAACAAAACTGTTTAGGCTCCCTAAGCCACCCACCACATCGAAGACAGCTCCTTAAATACATCAAATATCAGCCATATAGTATTGCTTCAATAAAGAAAACACTGCACATATTGTAAATAACATGTAAATAACTTCCTCTACGAAGAAATTGAGTCTAACCAGGCCAGACAGAAGTCAAACAAACTTAGAATAAGAAGAGCAATGTTTGTGAGACAATGTGAAAAAGGGAGGACTGAGAAAAAACAAAAGGATAGGTAGATGGTGTCACACGACGAACACAGACGAAGGCAGATTAACAATATAGACGAGGTGTAATCCACAATATAGACGAGGTGTAATCCACAGGCAGGAGATGGACAGTAACAGCGCACATCATACACTAACAATAACCAATAAGGGAGAGAACAGACCGGCGAGTGACTAACGTATTCAACCAGAGTGACTAACGATAACTAATGGAGACAAGACAGAATCTGAACTAAACTAAACATACACGTGACCGATGGATGGAGGGATGAGCAATCACGGGGAGGAACAGAGGAGTGAAGGCTTGACACGGTTTGGTCTGCTAAAAGCTTCTATTCCATGGCAAATTAAAGAGTCATTAGAGAGATTTTCACGCCAGTTCTCCATGATAATACAGACATCTAATGATCCGAATAAACCCGAGACTGTGTGAATAAACTGACCATGAAAAAGGCTTTGAATGTACTTCTGAAAAGAGAAAAACTGGGTGGTAAAAATATTATTCTGGACATGTCAGCTTAATTAATGGCTGTATATAATAATGGCATTTTTGTCCCTGTATATTGTGTTTTAGCCTTCTTCATTTTGGGTCAGGCTCACGAAAACAGACACACATTTCACCCTAAAACAAAACGAAAGAAATAAGAAATCATATTTCGGATGAAAAAAATTTCGGATGCCTGTTGGGATTAAACATTTCCTCATTTTATTCCTAAATTCTCATTTCTGTATCTATATTACTGTGTTGTGGGAGTTTGCGTGTTGTAATGCTATAGTTTTGCCGTTTGCTTCACTATCGCTCCAAGTCATTGAAAATACATTTTTAAACTTTATACTTTTTAAAAATGTATTTTTATAATCAAACAAAAAACACAAACCAGGACAATGAATAACTCTGCAGTAATTTTGATGTATTATATTATTACTAATATTGTATTCCTACAAATATTACAATGATATTGTCACAGTAATCTTCAGTTTATTTAGTGTTCATGGGCTTTTAGTTTGTATTCTCTAATCACATGTGCTCCTCTGTTTGATTTTCATCTGTTATAATCAACACTAACTCTATCATCACAACTGGTCATGATTTGTTGAATCACCGTGTGTATTTCAGTTCAGACTGTATTCTTCATCTTCGTCTGCCTTCCTACAACTTCCTGTTACAGATATATATATATATATATATATATATATATATATATATATATATATCAATCATCAGGCTAAAAATATAGTTATGTGGATTGCAGGAAAATGTGCTTAATATTCATGAAAAAAAAATAGAAATTCATATGATCCTAAAATGAATGCAAATTAATTAATTCGTTTCAAATCAAATCACGTCTAATTCCTTTCCTTTGATTTATGAGCTGGTGTGTTAATGTCGAACATGTCTCTGCCTCTAGAGTCGTACCAGTTCTCCGTGCCCGAGTCTCTGCCCGTCTCCTCAGTGGTGGCCAAACTGAAAGCCGCGGATGCTGATATCGGCTTCAATGCGGAGATGGACTACCGCATCATAGATGGAGACGCTCCCGGGGTGTTCAACGTCAGCACAGACGAGGAGACTCAGGAGGGAGTCATCTTTCTGCTGAGGGTGAGATCATGCATTGACCAACTGCTGTCTCTGGCCCACTTAGGCAGAAAACATTACAGACACATTTGCAGCGGTTTGTTCTAGATTGTTAAGAACCGTCTGCGTCTATTTCAAGGCCTTGTCTGCATGTTCAAGATTGAGGACAATCCGCATCCCACAACACTTTGTGTTCAAGACTGTCAAAGTGGATTCTGGTTCTTGTCCAACTTCACTGACACCCAGCACATAACACACACAGACTGAGTCGCATTGAATATGGTAAACAGAAGCTCAACTCTATTTCCAAAAAACAGCTTTAGTTCTGGTGTCATATGTAAGCACGTTTGAGCTTCCATTGAGCATATTTGATGTACTCTGATGTGTATTGATCCATTTCTGTATTTAAGACAAAAGTCTAAATGAAATCTTTTCAAAATTTTGGATGAGCATATTTGCGTTTAAAATATCTGGGAGGAGGAATATACTGAGGCAAAGAATTTGAACTGGATGGTTTGTGTAAATTCAGTTATTTAGTCGTGTGGACTATGTGTATCTGTATAGGACAGGGGTTCTCCACTCTCCTGCAGAGTTTACCTCCAGCCCTAATCAAACACACCTGCCTGGGACTCCTCAGGGGCCAGAGAGGAGAACCCTTGGTATAGGAGAAGTAGAGACGTGGCTCTAAGTGGTTCCCATCCCTGGTCCTGGAGACCCCCAGCACTGCACATATTAGATGTCTTGGGAATGAGAATGGGTTGTGTTTAAGCAGATGATTTTTGTGTTTTTAGTCTCGATTTGAACTGCCAGAGTGTGTCTGCTTCTCGGACAGTGTTAGGAAGATTGTTCCAGAGTTTTGGTGCTAAATAGGAAAAGGATCTCCCGCCAGCAGTCGATTTTGACATTCTAGGTATTCGGAGTTTCGAGATCACAATAGACGTGAAGGACTGTAATGCGTTAAGAGCTCGCTCAAGTACTGCGGAGATAAACCATTTAGTTCTTTATAACTAATCAGCAATATTTTAAAATGTATCCGATGTTTAATAGTCAGCCAATGCAGGGTTGACAGAGCCGGGCTAATATGGCCATACTCCCTGGTTCTGGTAAGAACTGGAGCGGCTGCGTTTCGGACCAGCTGGAGTTTGTTTATTAAGCGTGTTTAAGCGTGTTTATTAAGCTATGGTTTTACAGACACTAGACACTTGACTTTCAAATGAAAGATTGGTATCAAAGAGCACACACAGGTTCCTAACCGATGACGAGGATTAGACAGAGCAGCTGTGATGTTTCATCTGTTACACCTGTTGTCCACCTCGTTATGTTTGATTCATCTGTGTATTTAGTTCCCTCTGTTCCATTCAGTCCTTGTCGATCGTTGTTGATGTTACAATGTGTTTGGAGAGTTTTCGTGCATGTTCCTGTTTGTTGTTGGAAGTTTAAGTAAAGTAATTGAATTTGAGCCTTTGCCTCTCCGGTCGTCTTCTTCAGCCTGCACTTCTACACTACCCCGTGACAGAACGATCGACCACAAAAAGGATGGACCCTTTCGTAGGGGCCCGAGCTCTCCTCATCGCTGGCTCCGTCCAGCCCCGTTCACTCCGAATCCTTCCATTTAATCGCCACATCTTCTGAGCGCAAAATCAGCCATTGTGCGTCATTACGCATTGTGATGGGCATTTTATTTCCATCCATTGCATCTGACAAGCTACGGATGTCGGTTATAATCTACTTGGGAAATGGGAAATAGTTCAGAGCAAATGTAATTTCTTGCAGCTTTCTGAATGGTTGAGACGTACGTCATACGTTATTTTATCAAAAATAAAACAGACTAAAGGCATATGAATACCATGATTCCGTAACAACTTTCCCCAGTGGACAAATAATACATCTATTTATCGATCTGTCTACAGCCTAATATCTCCCTATTATCTATCTATCTGACTGACTATCTAATTGATATATCTGCTCCGTTAGACGGACATATTGGCGAGAATATCAGTTTTGTACATTATTTCGTTCTGTTTACTGTCTTATGAGGATGAATTGTATAACATGCCAGTATTATTGCAGAACATATTTCACCTTTCTTTTTGGAAATAGGCTGTGTGTTCATTTGCATTTTTGTTGCAGATCGATCAAACGGGTGTTCGTGTAGGCTGTTAATTTTAAGACTTGCTTTGTGAAATCTTCGTGTTATTTATGTGAGGCAGCATTGCCATTTATTTTACACAACCGTCTACAGTTTCACACACTTTCACGTGTTTTTTCCAACTGCCGACGGTGTCGCCATTTCTCATTTCACCCGTTTTTGTGCGTACGCCTGGGTCAGAGCTTGCGTGAAGGACCGCACATTTTACCGTCAAGTTTGCTTTTTATAAATACCAACTATTGCGTAGAGAGCGGCGTACGCCTTCTTTTGTGCGTACGCAACGTTTATAAATGAGGCCCCTGGTGCCATACAAATAATCTCTCCTTAAATGCAGAGAAAACTAAGGAGATGATGATCGACCCGAGGAGGAGGAGCGATGATCAGCACGGCCCACTTTACATCGGTGAAGCACAGGTAGAGAGGGTGAAAACCTTTAAATTCCTCGGCACCCACATCACTGAGGACCTCTCTTGGTCTCACAACACCCAGCATATTGTCAGTAAGTCTTAACAACGACTGTCATTTCTAAGAAAGCTGAGGAAATTTGGTCTGTCCACCAAACTCCTTAGCAATTCCTATAGATGTACAGTGGAGAGCATCCTGACTAATTCCATCACAGTGTGGTTTGGAAAGTGCACAGTACAGGAAAAGAAAGCTCTCAGGCGGGTGATTAAAACTGCACAAACATTTGTGGAACGGCTTTTCCAAAACCCGGGTAACTAAGAGGGCACATAACGTCATCAGAGACACTGCACACCCTCAGCATATACTGTTCAACTGTTACCTTCTGGCAGACACTATAGGAGCATGAAAGCCAGAACATCCAGACTTAAAAACAGTTTTTATCGACTCAGTCGCTTGACAACTCTATACTCGCACTTTAATCACTGTTTGCACTACACTGTGAATGTTTGCATTGTTCAATGTATATGCTTTTTAGAGTCTATTAATGTCTCTCTGTCAAATGCAATTCTACACTTGCATCTTTTACATAAATTGTGTGTATATGGTGTACATTTTATATTCTATATTGTGGGACACTTTTGCAACTTAAGAATTTCATTGCATGGTGCAAATCTGTGCATATGGCACATAAACATCTTGAATCTTATAGTTTTTGTTGTTTTCTGAAAAGACAACATCATACACTAAGATTTTATTTTTGTTGTGTTTGTTGCTTTTCTTCTTTTAGCATGTCTTCTTTCATTCTGTCTTTAAATGTACTCTCTCTCTCTCTCTCTCTCTCTCTCTCTCTCTCTCTCAGCCTTTGGACTATGAAACTAAGAGCAGCTTTTCTCTGAAGATTGAAGCCACTAATCGGAATATTGACCCTCAGTTCTTGAGCTTTGGGCCCTTCAGTGACTCTGCGGCTGTAAAGGTCACAGTAGAAGATGTAAACGAGCCGCCGGTCTTCTCACCCCGGATCAGTAAAATGGTGGTGTCGGAGGCAGCGAGGGTTGGTTCTGTCGTCGGGGCGGTTTCAGCCCGAGACCCAGACTCGTCCAACAGCGCCATCAGGTAAATGTTCGATTTATTTGTGTGCTATGTGATTCATATCGCTGTTCATCTTATTGTCCTCTTAGCCACATATAATACAGTTGTAAACACTGACTGGACATCAGAAAGCACCCGTCAGAGTCTGTATTAGTGTCCTGCTTCAATTCAAGTCAAGGAGATGATCAATTCTACCCAGCAGTTATGTCTTCATCAGTTTTCAAAGGACTTCCTAACTAACGAAGTTAGAGCCACAGGTCTGTAGTCATTCAGAATCTTTGGGTGGTTGACAGTAACAACACGAGGGCCAGCCGCTCCATGCCAGTAGTGGGTAACATGATTTCTGTTTGTGGAGAGACTAGTCCACCAAATAAACTGCGAGTCTGCTTAACATCACTAGAAACTGTAAAATGTGAAGAGCCACACTCCTGCGACTGCTGCCGCTCGCTGCGTCCGCATGCGCCCTCAGATCATGGTGGTTGAGGAGATTCCACTCTCTATGTAAAGCGCTTTGAGTGCCGAGAAAAGCGCTATATAAATGTAATGAATTGTTATTAAATCACTTCTCTGTTTTTGGTCAGATAAAAGGTTGGTTGAATTATCAAATGTATAAAAAGTTTGACATTACAAAAATAAAGTCAACTTTTCAGCCATTTAGTTTTAGCCAAAGATTGTAAAGAGCAAGAACTTTGACGTTTGTCTGTGAGTGTTGAACGAACAGGTGTCAGGGTTCAGTCCCTATTTCTTGGTTTAGTGACAGAGACACTCCTGATTGGTCTTGTCTGTGTGCTTTGTTTCGTGTGCGGGACGTGTTCTGTGTAGCACGCGGTTGGTGTTTACATCATCTGCATGCTCTCATGTCTTGTTGTTGTGAGTACATGCTTGTCATGTGGTTTTCTTGTGCCATGTGCGCTTCTGTCATTAGGTGTGTCGGACATCGTGCAGGTGGGGAGGAGCTTTAGACTTTATTCTGTACAGTAATGGTGAACATTTTTAGATAGGTTTCCAACCTTGTTTTGTTTTTAGGCAGTTAGAACTATATTTACTTATTTATATATACTTAAATAAAGTTTTATATATAAAGACCAGTACAAATGTTACTGCAGCTCATCAATTCAATTCAATAATTTATTACCATGTCATAGGAATTAGTCTTGGTACAACTCTCAAACATAATTAACCAAAAAACAGACGACGAAGGCCGACAATCCCCAGCAACAATAAGACGTTAGACCAAAACGGTTGTCACCAGTTGCTAGGCGACAAAACCAGACTGTCCCACTGAACAACTCCAGGGACACAGCTAGTGTGTTAATGTGAAATTAAATGTGAAAGTAAGGACATCTCTCATAAAGGTTTGCATCTTTAAATAGCAAAATAATTCCCTGAAAAACTAGCTAGCCTCTTCGCTAAAAACACACAAAATACCATTGGAATGCTACAGTACTTCCGCCGCCTCACCGGAAGTTTCACCCACTTTATTTTTGACAGGAGCGCCCCCCCAAAACTTGTGGATAAAGATTATTTTATTGTCCGTGTTATTATTGAAAGACTTGTGACTGGTGTGTCCAGGTACTCCATAGACCGTAACACAGACCTGGAGCGGTTCTTCAACGTGGATGCTCTGTCTGGTGTCATCCGCACAGCCAAACCTCTCGACAGAGAACTCAATTCAGTCCACAACATCACCATATTTGCCACGGAGAACAGTGAGTATAATATAAGCCACGTCTGAAAATCTACATTTGCATAATTAAACGCAGAACAATTGTTTATACATGCCGTAGTCAGCATATATAGTGTATAAAATCAGCTCTGCATTGCTGGTTCTTCACCTACTGAAAACACGTCTGTGCTCTACATGCCCTTCCTCGAATCACACGTGAGCAGGACAATAACGCACTTGAATGTGAATGTGTTCTTCTGGGACTGATTGTGGCCTGTAGCTCAGACTAACCCTAACCCAGGGTTAGATCTCTATGATCTGAGCTGCTGACTAAAGCATGTCTACACAACTGTTCTGTTTAATTATGGAGATGTCATGCCGCGAGGTGACACACATGCAGAATAACAGTTTCAAGGGGAACGAATCTCACTCCACAGAATCTTGATAAAACACACTCACTAAATGTCATTACCTCTTACAGATCAGACTGGAAAGTTCTCCAAAAGTTAATTTACACATTCTCAAGATAAAGTAAACACTAAATAAAAAAAAAAAAAATGGTTTCACCAATGGACTTTTCCGGTTGGCGAATAGTCAACCATTCAAAATGACAAAAAATAATTCTGATTTCCAGAAGTCTTTATTTGTCAGAAAATCATAACGATCTAGACTAGGGGCGTTCAAACCTGACCTGAACTGTCCTGCAGAGTTCAGCTCCTACCCTAATTAAACACACCTGAGCTTCAGACTGTGTGTTGGAGCAGGTAGAAGCTAAAGTCATGTCAGCTTTACAGGGATAACAGGAAACTGCAAACTGAGTTGTGAAAGGCAAGCTAAAGTGTTCAGGATGTTGGCCTTCCAGGAGCAGGATTGGACACCCCTGATCTAGACATAACATCATATTATTGACCCGTCTTAGACCACCAATCAAAAGTCACTTTCTATGTGGTGAGTCTGTATGTGTTAGCGAATAGCTGTTGATGCTAGCTGTGTTTGTGTGTGTCAGAGGACCCGTCTCAGGTTGGCAGAGGAATCGCTCTGATCACAGTCATGGACATTAATGATAACGCTCCAGTGTTTGCTATTGAGTACGAGACACTCCTGTGTGAAACCGCTGCACCTGGACAGGTACGTGTAGCACTGTGCATGTTTATTAGGGGTGTCAAAATGCAACAATACATATTTACGGTAATAAAAAAGAAAATTAATTGACTATGAGTTTAATTATGATGACTATAGTAATAACCAATCTGTCAAGGTTGTAGTGAAGGATGAGCGAAGACTCAAATATGCAGAGTGTTATGGGCTTTTATTTGTAATATATATTCCCCCCTGTGGTGGGAAACACTACCAACATGGGAACAACAGAGAGCCAGCTGGCAATATAAGGAGAATAGGAGGATAACATGAGAGAGCAGATGGGCTACAAACCAATAATCAGGTGACATAGCGGTGGGGTAAAGATAATCGACAGGAGAACACATAGAAACAAACATAACAAGCCATGTGCTAACACAATCTTGTTTATTGTGTGAAGCCCAGTTTTTCTCAATTTTTGCCAAGACCCGGCTTCACAGACAGGGTTTAGTTTAAGCCAGGATTAGGCCTTAGTTTAATTAGGACATTTAAGCAACTTTTATAAACATGCCTTAAAAACTTAAGACAAAACAATGGCACTGACTAATTTTAAGATATGTCAGTGTATGCTCTTATTTTAGTGATCATTTTATTGTCCATGATATGAAGCCCTTACTTCAGACATTACTTCAGAATACTGCAGCATCAAGCATGCAAGTCTAAAAACTGATTGATCTGCCGTGATAGTGGTCTGTCTCAGGCAAGTTCTCTTATGCTAAGTGTTCAAAGCTCTAGAAGTCATCAACACTGATGTGCAGATTCTCCAAATGCATTTTCTCTTAGTAAATAATAACTTAAAGCAAGGAATAGAGGATTTGTATATGTTTGATATTTTGTTTAATTACTACTGTAGTTTATGTGACATTAGAATTGGACTGTGTGAGAAATTTCAGTCTAGATTAGATATATCTCTGTACAAAATTGCATATCATAGAATGGGTAAGGAAATTGTTGTTGTTGATGTTTGCCATAAATATAGGAAGTGCACCTTATACATTTGCCTTAGGCTCTACAGTATATACGATTAATAAAGCTTTACAGTTTCAAGTATTGCTATTCAATTGAAACTTTTAAATCCACAATACTTGCACATAATTGTTTGTAGATACATGTCATCTACCTCTTTTTCTTTTTCTTTTTCTTTTCTTTTGTTGGCGACTGAGTCTTTTCTGCCATCCAAACCCCCAGTCCTGCAATGACTATAATATGTTCAGCATTATCTCAATCAGTGCCATGTTGGCTGAATCATGCATCCTCTTTGTGAAAGGACAATGTCCTCATAAGTTAATTACAGTATTGATTCTTGTCTTAGACATAGAGATTTAGATCTTCTTAAAAAGATTCTCCTTCTGAGATCAGCCTCCAATTTCCTGCCAAATAACCACTTTGAGTTTGGACGATAAATGATGTCACAAAACCTAAATACCTGAATCTGTCCTGCCTCAACAAGCAATATGGGTCATAACATATATTAAATAGCACTTTCCACAAGAATTAGATATTCAGCTCTTTAAATTTTAAACTCTTTTTTTAAAGCAAATAGTTATTGAAAAGTGATGCAGACATCTTGGATTCCAGGTCAGAATTGGTTGAGTCCAAGAATCGATTCAAAGACAAACTGTTTTAAAAACTGGATGGATGCATGGTTAATTTTCATGAAGGCATATTTCACACAAGATTTAGTACAAAAGGCTGAAGAAAATTTTAACTGATAGTGTCAGATATAAGAGTTTGCATACACCTTCTGGTGCTACTTGGACACGCCATCGGTGTAGTACCCGGGGTCATAGGGTGTTTCGGGTCTTTAAACTTCATACACGTGCACCCGGCCGACCCAGCCGGGGGTGATCAGTGCCCAGCTTGTGTCTAAGTGGCATGTTGCTCCACGTTTCCCCCCCTAATCCACAGCCACGAGAAGCCCTCTCTGCGGCCTCTAAGATGTTCGTGGTGGCCTTCTTCAACTGTAGTCCTTTCACTCCAAGGAGTTTGAGGGTTCGCAGCAGTGAGCGACCAGTGAATTATATTATTATATAATAATAAATAATATCAGTCAGATAAAAAATAAAATTTTTAGACTTTGCAAAGCTATTCAATTTAGTCCAGTAACTACAGTTGACACTGAAGATGGCAGACAGAAGGTGGATATAATTTCAACACAAAGTTTAATAAATCTAAACAGGCAGGATACTCCAATTAGTGCAGAGAAACACAACTTACATAGCATTCCCCTTAGCGTATTAGCACTGGGTGTTATCCCTGAGGCGGTCTCCTGCACATGGCCACGGGTTTAGCCCTCCGCGCTACCAGGCGGATCGTTCCCTTGGATGATCTATGACTGCTCTGCTGACAGTGGAGAGGCATCTGTGGCTTACTTTGTGGGGCATCAAGGAGTACGACAAAGCGATCCTCCTAGATTCTCTCACCGGCTGGACTGTTTCAGCTTCATTCCAAGTTCATTCCTCTCCGAGTGCAGGCTCCTACTAGACCGTCTGAGGTCTGGTACAGAAGTGTAGATGCCTGTGCACCGCCTCCGAGGAGAGTAACCCACACTCAGATCAAAAGCTTCTTTATACATCAGAAAAAGAGGAGAAGGCTTATGTGAGGCTGCCATTCAAGTTTTTCCCCATTCTGCATTCCTTCTTCTCATTACTCCCTGCCATCCCTTTTTATTCAAATTATTTTAGCTATGTATAATAGTTATGATATTAATAATTGTAGTTAAATAGGAAGGGTGGCAGCTCTGGTAGGGAAGGGTTAGGCCAATTTCTTTCGAATGGTTTCTCCGTCCTGTGAGGGGTATGTTTAGGTATTTGAAAGGAATTCGGTCCTAATCTCCTGTGAGGGTAGTTTTTAGTGCTTGTGAAGGTAACGGGATAGACCAGTAACGTCTCCCTCCTGTGAGGGGTAAGTTTCGGTATGCAAATGCAACCCTTCCTAATCCCATCTGGGGGTAAGTTTTAGTTCTTGTGCAGGTACAGGGATAGCCCAACTACTTCCTAATTACCGCTCCCTCCCTTGAGGAGTAGGTCTGGGAATTTTAAACCTAATGGTACCATAATATTCCAACTCAGGCCTAATCCTTAATGACGATACATGTATCATTGACAAAAACCAGTAGCCAATCATTAAACCAACTATCTAAACCTATTCCTCCAAAGACACATCTTCGGTGGTGTACCTCAGGACCCTCGTATTTCGGCTCTTTAAACACCAGACACCCTCCCCTGAGGTGGCCCGCCATAGGGGGGTCAATTCTTGGCGTGTGTCTTCTCCAGTCAAAAATTGTAATAATAATAATAATAATTTTGTCATTTAACTCAACCTTGCTGTAGGTTTTAACTACATCTTTTTGTCTTCTTGTGGCTGATGATAGGTTATTCAGACGATCAGTGCTGTGGATAAAGACGAGCCTCCCAGTGGCCATCGTTTCTATTTCTCTTTCGCTTTCTCTGCCGTCAATAATAACAACTTCACCCTCAGAGATAATAAAGGTAAACTCTGCAAACCATGAGAGAGAATTACAGGTACTGTTTGTATGATGCAGCAGTGTAGCATTTATAACCATAACTTGAGATATTTCTAATGTTGACATTTTCATGACTGTTACAGGTGAATTGTGTAATTCCTGTGACACCAAACAGAATTGCAGGGTGTTTTTTTTTGACGAATAGGAACTATTTGCAATTCTTTTTGCTGGCAAAGAAAATAATAATAAGTTTAAATGAACTGTATTTAAGTTCATACCTTAAATATGAACACAATTTTAACACATTCTCGATTTTAGAGTTCAGATTTCTTTCTTGTATATGCAGACCATTGTCCTGGAATATTCAGACAGATAATGTATGTAACTTAAGTATATGGGTTAATTTAAGAACTGAGGTCAATTTTCATAATAAGCCGAATCTCTAATTGGAGCCCTGCAAACCACATACTTGCAAATAAAGATGTGCACAGGTAGATTAGATAATGTATTTAACCACTCTTTTCTGTGTAATTACAATCGCTTTATCAGAAGAAACAGAGGATCCAAGTTCTTGGAATAGTCTTTAATGAAGAATTATAGGCAGTCTGTCGTGCAAGGACACATAACTGCAATCAACTCAAAGTCAGTGTACTTTACAGTAGGTCAGCAGAAATGGAAGATCCTGTCTTGGTGATAGTTTGCTGATAATTCACATTGGGCAGTAACACAGTCCTTTTAAGAGGACACAAAGCCGCAGAGATTAGACTCGGGTGGTCATAAGCCTTAAGGTGACAGGGCAGAGAGCACAACTCCTCTAGACTAGACAAGATAATACAAGGTAAAACTTCATGTTGAAAACATATAGCACAGCCATGTAGTAATAACCCTTCAAAGAACAAGGGGAACAAATGCTAGAATTAGAGAGAAAGCAATGAGACTAGAGTGAGAACAGGTGTTACAGAGAGCGAACAATAACAGGTGGGAAAATAGACAGAGCGAGAGAACAAACCCAGCTCATGACACACTTTCATATAATGGCAAATGGAAGCTTTAAAGAACTATAAATGTATTCTAAAACTATCATAAAAGTAATCCATACAACCTGTGTGTTATATTTCACGTCTTCTGCATCTAAATAATAGCTTTGTGTCACAGACAAAAGTTGAAAATCAGAGAGCTGTTAAACGTTGCGTCATCGTTCAAAGTAATGATGAACAGATGAAGGGATTCACTGCAATCTTTTAGTCCAAATAAACGAAACAATCCAGGAAGCACATGAGGAACAAAGGATAGTGTAACAGCTCATACTTAAACAAGACAAGAACCAAACTCATGACTTAAATACACTGGGGATAATGAGGAGTGCAGGAGAACATATCTCTGACTATAGGAATAAATGAGGAACTAATTATAAACCATAGGAACCAAAGGAAACTGAACAGAATATCAAAATAAGAGTCCACAAAGCTGAACATAACCGTGACAGAACTCTCATCCTCGCGCCGCAGATAGTAGTTCAACCGAGACAGGAGTGGGTTGTAGTGGAGGACGTAAGCAGGTGGAGTGGAGTCTTATGTTTGCTTATATTTTCTATATACATATTTTCCTCTCTTTTTCATGAAGCAAAGACAGTTTTCATGAAGTGATCGTGTTTTCCCATCTTCCAACTCTTCCATCCATCCATCCCTTCATTCAGAGATTCATTCATCTCTCAATCCTCAGTTTGGTGTCAGGTGACCAGTCTTTATCCAGTCTAACACTTCAGACACGTTAATGAGTGTAACAGTTAATTTCACATTCTTAACCCTTGACCTTTTCCCGTCCCTCTCAGATAACACCGCATCAGTGCTGACCAAGCGAGCTGGTTTCCGGAGGCAAGAGCAGTCTCTGTACTGGTTACCAGTGCTGATCGTGGACAGTGGTAGCCCAGCCTTGAGCAGCACCAACACACTCTCAGTCCGTGTGTGTCAGTGTGACGTGGACGGGGTTCCTGAGGCGTGTGGATCCGTGGCCTTCTCTCTCCCAGCGGGTCTGAGCACTGGAGCTCTGCTCGCTGTACTGGCCTGCATCATCACACTGCTGGGTAAGACTGCCAGAGCACTGATCTCCAGTTATTATACGTCTTTTCACCCTCATGCTGCTAGAAAAAGATTGCTTACACTTCATCTAGTGACGTGCGTGTGCTGTTACTCTCAGCTCTGTTGTCTTCTCCTGTACTGTAGATTTGCTTTCCCTCTGTATACGCACACGTGTCATAGAGCTAGGATGGAAGGAAAACAGTCTTGCAGCCATAAGAGCGTTGAATTCACAGAAATCCTAATTTAATTTATTTATGTGTAGGTTATGAGTGTTGAATGTTGCTCCTGGTACAGACTGTGGAAACAAATTTCCTCTACTGAGGACAATAAAGAATGAATATTTTAGAAGACTTTACCCCCTGAGGTCGGAGGTCGCGCCGGCGATAACAGCTCACATTTTTTTCAGTGCAAAGGAGACTTAAAATACTCTGTTAATTTTGATCTTACATATACATTTTTCACATCATTAGATCTTGTTAAGTGTCTATTTTCTTTTGTGGATACTCACAATAAAACAAAGTGTTGTGCTTTTTGCCAAATAAAAAAAAAAAACATGATTTGAGTTTGGCGTTCTCTCTCTCGCAGTGAAGTCCATTCTGAAACGCGTCCGGGACTGTATCTCGGCGAATACTCAGTCAAGCAGGAATACACGCACAGGCATGAAGCTTGCATTCTCGTCTTTTAAATTAAGTAATTAATACAGACTGTAACCACACTGATGAACATATTCACTTTTGATGAGAGAAAAAAAAATAGAATTAAAACCCGTAACCTCTGACACGCTTGGCAAAAGATCTACCACCAGATCGACGGGTTGAGCAGAGCGGATGCACAGTTCGTACCCAGCCAGGGGTGCCGCCAGAAATGCTGGGCCCTATAGAAACCAAAATCGCTGGGCCCGCTACATTTTTTTACAGATAAAATTTAACCCAATAAACATGCCCAGTATACAGTGTTGGGAAAGTTCACTTTCTACACAAACTAGTTTTAAAATGAACTTTTAAAATGAACAAGTTCAGTTCATTGTTCACACTTCAAAAAATGAACCAGTTCATTCTTAGTTCTTAGTTCTCCAAATGTTGCAAGCTTCTTTATTATTATTATTATTATGATTGCCACTGCCCACACCACAGACAACAATTATTTTATCGACGGGCAAAGTTTGCACAGAAATGTAAGATGTATACTTTACATGAACAAGCTTTAGCTGGCTCAAACTGCTCAATCAGGAAACAACAGCTTATTTTTATGGGCCTATTTAGTTTTCTTAATATAAAATATTAAGATATCAGTTTTGTAAACTCCGTACAAAATAAGTTTTGCGCTCTGTGGGGCAGAAAGCGATTCATACTTAAACAGTCTTTTTGCGGTTTACATAGGCTATTCCATATCGCGATTACAACAAAGCACTTATTAATAAATGACTTAAATAAATGCCAAATAAATAAATGGACTAAATTAATAAATATAATAATAACTAAATTATAACAATATAAAAACATCACTGAACTTACTTAAGCTGGATTGTAAAGCTATTTTCTTCTGGAAACAAACTTTGTTGTATTTTCCTGTTATCTCTGTAAAGCTGCTTTCAAACAATCTGTATTGTAAAAAGGGCTATATACGCAAAATATGACGTGACTTGACTAAGTTTCTTTAAAAAAGCAACATTTTGAGCAAAAAGTTGAAAAAATCACATTTTTGTCATGTGACTACATTCAGATTGGATTCAGAGCGATGATTAAAACACAGATGAAGAAGATCAAGTCCATCAACAGCCCCAAAGCTTCACCGTCCTATAGCTCCTCCTAGGTTGACAGTTCATTCAGTAAAAAAGAAATCCAGTAAAGATAAGTGTATCAGAGTTTTGTTCCATTGTATCGGTGCAACCACTGAACCTCATGTTTGTCTCTCCTCTAGTTTTGTTGCTTCTGATCGTAGTGATGCAACGCAGACGAAAAGTGCCTCTTTTCCTGGAGGATGAGCGTGATGTGCGGGAGAACATCGTTCAGTATGATGATGAAGGAGGAGGTGAAGAAGATACAGAAGCTTTCGATATGGCGGCACTGCGTAATCTTAATGTCATCCGTGATTCGAAGGTACAAAACGTAACTCCAATTAACTCTGTTAACCCATACTCAGCTTCAGCTAGGACATCGTACAAAACCCTTCCTGACAACACTGTCTTTCAAGAGTTTATCTGGGACAGACTGAGAGCGACTGATGTGGATCCGTCAGCTCCACCGTATGATTCTCTTCAGACCTATGCGTTTGAGGGAAATGGCTCGGTGGCGGGGTCTCTGAGCTCGCTGGATTCTCCCTGTTCAGATTCAGAGCAGAGTTACGACTACCTCAGCAACTGTGGACCACGCTTCAAGAAGCTGGCAGACCTGTACGGCAATCTTGATGGAAGCAGGGTTTTCTCCTAGCCTTAATGGTCATGGCCTACAAACAATCGCCAACACAACAAATGTTATTGTTCTGCAGGTATAAGGACAACGTGAAAGGTCTAAATTTCTTTAGTTGGCTTTAACAGGTTTGTCGATTCAAATGAAACGAAAGTGTGGTGCCAGGGTTTGATTTGGTAGGTGTACTGTAGTGTCCCTTCAATCTAACCACTGCCCTGAATAGTTTAGTTTCAACCTTAATCAAAGAAACCTGAGCAAACTAATCAAGAGTGCGTTCGACTCAGTGCAGGTCTGCTCAGACCCATCGCTGTCTGACTTGAAGCAGTGCAATCTTTGTCTGATTTAAACACTGTGCAAGCGTCGCTACGGGAAGCAGAAAGTCTTAGACTTCATGTATTCACGGGACTGTAGTCTACACCAGGATAAATGCTATGAAAGTTCTCGTAAATTGCCGTTGAAATGGTATTCTCAATTGAAACAGAGTGGAGGCTTGAATCAGTAAACTGTTTTTGACCTATGCTGGCTCTTCAATCTCGCCTTCAGAAGCTGCCTGCTAAGGCCAGCTGAATGGATAGCAAGCAGAACCCAGTATCGCTGAGAAAACACTTACAGGGAGGTCTGGTGAGGCCTATTACCTCATAGAAAGCTAGAAAACTGGTTGCTATGAACGCCGACTCTGGCTGTCAGTCCAAGGGTAGCCTGCTAAGGCCAGCCACCTGAAATTTTTATTAGGTAAGAAACTGATTGCCATAGACCAATATTGTTGGGAACGGAGCTTCATGGTGGCCTGATAAGGCCAACCGCCTAACAGTGGTCTTACTAGCTTGCAAAAATTACCCACGCTGTTGGGGTTTGCCTTCTGGAAGGCCTAAACGGCCAACCATACAGTGGCAAATCTTATTTGGCTGATCATAATGGGGGCTTGCCTCCAGAGAGGCGCTCTGAAGCCAATTGTCTGATTGGCAAGTGAATTTTAACAGCCAAGCACCCCATGTTGGGGCTCAGGGTCAGGGAGGCCTGCTAAGGCCAGTGCCAGACCGTCAACACGGCAGACTGTATACCCCGTCACTCGAAAACTCATTTGAGGATTTAAGAGGCCTACTCGGCCTGAAGCAAACAAGTGCTGACAGGCATCTGCTGGGGACTTGCTTTCAGGGAGGCCTGGTAGGGCCTACTAACTGATAGCAAGTCTATTCTACTACCAATACAACACCGTTGGAACCATACTACACCAACTCAAATATTGGGGCCACCCACAGGAGGCCTCTTGAGGCTGGCTACCTGGTTGCAGCTTTAATGTATGCCCCACAACGTTGGGGCTCTCTTCTGAGGAGGCCTGTTAAGGCTTACTACCCGTCAGTGAGTCTATTGCCCGAACTGCTAGGGCCAACCACCTGCGGTAAGCTGGCCTAAAGAGCCCTTTTTGGGGCTGCCCATCAAGGAGGCTTGCTGAGGCCTACTACTTGACAGTGCAGTCTTCATTGGCAGATAAGCTGTTTATACAGTCCCTACAGAAAGCCCTCTCTTTCTCCCCGATGTCGGCCAGATTCAACCACAGATGTCTGTCCGTGGCCACCATCTCCACCATCAACCGGCCGGTCGCGGCAGCAGTTTGTACGGTGGCCCGGAGTGCTAGATCTGTGGTGCGGCGCAGCTCAGCAAACTGCTTCAGGGGACATCCCTGGCTGAGATCCCCCAGCAGATCGGCCTGGTATGCCATGGTGTGCAGGGCAGGACCGGCCTGACCCGCTGCCGTGTATGCTCTGCCATTCAAACGCGATGTTGCTTTCAAAGGTTTGGATGGCTGTGTTGGAGCTTTCATCCCAGATGCAAGATAGTTCACAAACATCTCATCGATGGGTGGCATTGACACGTACCCATGTTCTCCTATGCCCTCAACATCAGCGAAACTAGCCTGCTGATGTCAGTGGATACGGGCAGAATATGGGCTCTTCCATGCCCTCTCGATCTCAGTATGAAGATTGGTAAGGAATGGATGGCTCACCTGAGCTGGTGGTTTATGGCCGGGGAGAAACCGATCATCAATACACCCGTATACACTTCCGGGTTGCACGCCTGAAGCGTTCCCCAAAGCGCCATCGACACAGTGTGAGTTCCCTTTCAAAAGGAAACTACATATAGGTGAGTTTGATCAGGGTTTTAGTTGAACTCCCCAGGGCAGTGGTTATCCAGGGACAGATCTGAGGAATATATATATATATACAACCCGAATTCCAGAAAAGTTGGGACGTTTTTTAAATTTGAATAAAATTAAAACTATACGACTTTCAAATCACATGAGCCAATATTTTATTCACAATAGAACATAGATAACATAACAAATGTTTAAACGGAGAAATTGTACACTTTTATCCACTAAATGAGCTCATTTCAAATTTGATGCCTGCTACATGTCTCAAAATAGTTGGGACGGGGGCACGTTTACCATGGTGCAACATCTCCTCTTCTTTTCAAAACAGTATGAAGACGTCTGGGCATCGAGTTTATGAGTGTCTGGAGTTTTGGTGTTGGAATTTGGTCCCATTCTTGCCTTATATAGGTTTCCAGCTGCTGAAGTGTTCGTGGTCGCCTTTGACGCATTTTTCGTTTAATGATGCGCCAAATGTTCTCTATAGGTGAAAGATCTGGACTGCAGGCAAGGCCAATTCAGAACCCGGACTCTTCTACGACGAAGCCATGCTGTTGTAATATCTGCAGTATGTGGTTTTGCATTGTCCTGCTGAAATACACAAGGCCTTCCCTGAAATAGACGTTGTCTGGAGGGGAGCATATGTTGCTCTAAAACCTTTATATAGCTTTCAGCATTCATAGTGCCTCCCAAAACATGCAAGCTGCCCATACCGTATGCACTTATGCACCCCCATACCATCAGAGATGCTGGCTTTTGAACTGAACGCTGATAACACGATGGAAGGTCTCCCTCTTCTTTTGTCCGGAGGACACGGCGTCCGTGATTTCCAACAAAAATGTCAAATTTGGACTCGTTTGACCATAGAATACTTTTCCACTTTGAAATAGTCCATTTTAAATGAGCCTTGGCCCACAGGACACGACGGCGCTTCTGGACCATGTTCACATATGGCTTCCTTTTTGCATGATAGAGCTTTAGTTGGCATCTGGAGATGGCACGGCGGATTGTGTTTACCGACAGTGGTTTCTGGAAGTATTCCTGGGCCTATTTAGTAATATCATTCACACAATCATGCCGATGAGTGATGCAGTGTAGTCTGAGGGCCCGAAGACCACGGGCATCCAATAAAGGTCTTCGCCTTTGTCCCTTACGCACAGAGATTTCTCCAGTTTCTCTGAATCTTTTGATGATGTTGTGCACTGTAGATGATGAGATTTGCAAAGCCTTTGCAATTTGATGTTGAGGAACACTGTTTTTAAAGTGTTCCACAATCTTTTTACGCACTCTTTCACAGATTGGAGAGCCTCTGCCCATCTTTACTTCTGAGAGACTCTACCTCTCTAAGACATCCCTTTAATCATGTTACAGACCTGATATCAACTTAATTAGTTGCTATAGATGTTCTCCCACCTGAATCCTTTCTAAATTTCTTGCTTTTTCAACCATTTGTTGTCCCCGTCCCAACTATTTTGAGACCTGTAGCAGGCATCAAATTTGAAATGAGCTCATTTAGTGGACTAAAGTGTAAAATTTCTCCATTTAAACATTTGTTATATTATATATGTTCTATTGTGAATAAAATATTTGCTCATGTGATTTGAAAGTCGTATAGTTTTCATTTTATTCAAATTTAAAAAACGTCCCAACTTTTCTGGAATTCGGGTTGTATATATATATATATATAAAATAAAAAATGTACACTTCAAAGAGTTTCTCCATGTTCAGAGGCTTCCAAAAGAGCAGCTAGAGTAAAAAAAAAAACTGATAGGAAAAATGAGGATAATTATATTCATAATGAAGTAATCAACAAAAACTGTAATTTTCAGAACAGTCCAGAATCATCTACTTTATATCATTCAACCTGGTTAAAGGACAAATATTTCAACTTGCTTTAATTTTACTTTTGATTTTATGAACTAGGTTTGCATTCCAAATAATTGTTTTTGAATCAGCTTGAATCTCTCTACGAAAGTCTCAAAAATAATTCTTGAATGTTGTTTTTGTAAACCTCTGATTGTTTATGTGACCTAAAAATGTAAAATTCAGTTCAGCAGTCTTTTTTTAACAAATAACATTTGCTTTAAACTTAGTATAATAAAGCAAAAGCTTGCACAAATATGTGTGATTTCACAAGGCTAAGGATTTTATACATTTATTTAAAAAATTAGCTTTACAAAGCAATGCCATTACTATGTTTTTCACTGGAGATAAATATCACAGTCAAAGCTGAGCAAACAAACGTGCATATGCTCTTTTTACTCTTTTTAGTTCTACATTTTGAAGATACAAGGAAGGAAAATATTTAATGGATTTTTTAAAAATCCTGTTTCGTGGACAATAAAAAAGGACATTCGATTCTTCTAAACCCTACTGAATGCCTGCTATTCTTTTTTTTATGGAAGAGAGCAGGAGTCTTTGGTAATGTCCTGTTATAAAGGAAAGGTAGATCATTCCTGATTAGGAAGGTGAAGTCTTTATTTCTTGGTGAATATAAGCCCATCCTAGCTAATGAAATCCAAGAATAGGACACATTTCTAATGAAACAAGTCTGCTAGGAGAGAGAAAGTATGACTTTTCAGTGTTTCTTGTTTCCTTTGAGTTTTTGTTGTTGAAAGGCAGCAGTAAACGCTGTGGGAGATTGAGAATTATGCTGGGCCACACAAATCAGGCTCATTCCTTCATGATACTGACACTTTTATTCATAAGCAGTGATAATCTTCTTCTTGTTGTTTCTTGTATAATAGCGTTAAACATAATGCAGTTGTAGATTTATAGAAGAACACTGGACGGCTTGCAACAACACTTCCTCTTTTGAGATATTTGAAGTTTATGTTAAATAAAAGTCTCCTCGAGGCCTGACGCCGCACCCACTGTGTCTGTCTTTACTCGTCCCGCCTCACTTGTTAAATCTTATGTTTCTCCTCAGGTAGCTTTGCCCATACAGTCATTCTTCCGCTTTTGGATCATCCTCAGAAATGTCCAGCGCTGCTGTGCTGTGGCTTCTTTATTGCATCACTGCCCTGTTTGGCAGGGTTAATATTACAGGCAGCTTTCTCCGTAATGGTATGCCATACGCACCACTAGCTTATAGTGATGCAATACCAGGTGGAGGATATGATTGTATGAGCATCATTTCATTGAAATCCGCAAGGTGTTCTTTAATTTACCGTGATGCAACCCGATGCACTGAGGATGCAACCCATCTCTGCTCGCTGGTAAACAGAGTCTATCCTTGAGGTTATTGACACCACACACTTTGAAGATAGGCGTACTGTACATAGACAAAAGAAGAAAGTTTGGAAACATCAGATGAGTCTGGGAGAAAAACCCTTTAACATAAAGATTACATAAATCATAAAGATTACATAAAGATTTATGGAATGCATGTAAATTCTAGAAACCTGGTTTGTGCAAAACTCAGAATTTCAGAATTGGCCTCCATTCAATTCATGAATTTGAATTGAATTGACCCGCCCCACAGGAAGTTGAATTTGAATAGATAGGATTAGTATAATTGGATTAGTAACTAATTGAATTACACATTTAACCCCATACAACTAAATACAAATACATTCATTTTGTAATTTAATAACATAATTCCATTACACGTAACTTGTCACTCCTCAACTCTGCATACATTTTGTTCTAAATATATATATAAACAGAAGTCCATCTTAATTTTTTTAGTTTTTTTCTAAAGATCTACTAAAACAATTCTGGGCAAAAAAAGGTGCTTTTGTTACAGTCATAATGAGGTAATACAGTTATAAATCTGCAAATCATTTAAAATATATGAAAGGAAAGGCATTCGAGTAAATTACACACTTATGTGTGTGTGTGAGGGGGAAACGGGGGTAGTAGAAAACTTCGGTTTTTGTTTCCATGCTATGTGCTTACTGTATCCACTTATGATTGTATGATTATGGAAACACGTTCATGAACAATATTAGTTATTACTTTGTATAGGACCCGTTTGAGCCCTAGAGCAGACCGGCGATCCCTCCGTTTGTTGAAAGCCTTCCCGATGTTGACTCTCGTCTTATTCCGACGGCTGGCACTGGACAGACAGAAGTTATATTTTCTTTGTCTCACGTGGAGTTTGCTTTGGGGTTTGGAATGAACTACAAGCCGGTCTCTTTGGGGCTGTTTACACCTGGCCACTTCATGCGTTTTCTCAGATCGGACAGCTATCTGATTTATCAAAACGATTCCATTACACCTGCTCACATAAATGTGTTTTTGCAAAACGGATATTAATCCGATCTTCAATTCCCGCGCTATATACACATTTTAATAAAGTGCACGTCACCGAAAGCAACAGATATGAGCCGCATTTTATTGATGATCGGCTGATTTCAAAATCAGCAAAGACAGCAATAAGAGAGATCGGCAACAGCCCTGGTAAGATCATTTCATTTCTTTACTTTTAATGAAGATGGTAGTGTTAAGCGTCTGCGACTTACTTTCACTTTGATTTGCGATAGATTGCGGCGCGCTGGCTTGATGAATAGGCGCTCAGCTGCTCATCTGAGGTGATGCGCGTCCTCATACATGACTAAAATAACATGACATATAGCCTGGTTTCAACAAGCAGATGCATTTACACTTGTCCAGTTGCGTCTGGAATGCGGCCCAGACCACGTCCTCAAGTGATTTGAGCGATCGGATTCAAATCCGTCTCGAATGCGTTTCGGAGGGCAACCTGGTGTTTCCACGATCGAATAGCTATCCGATCACAAAAAACGCATGAAGTGGCCAGGTTTCTGGACAGCCCCTTTGAATCCATCTTCTACTTTTGTGGAAAGTTGACTAAAGTTGTGTCACTCGAGTTGTCTTCGCTGATACGGAGAACGGCGGCGAACACAAAAAACTGCCAGACATAGCCACATAGCCAGGCGTGCCAGCCATGACGTCACGGCCAGTCTCAGATTCAAGCCCGAATCCCTCTTATTAATTTTACTCTACAGGATTATAGAGGTGATCTCAGTGATCAGAGAAGGGCTCATTCAGCCCATCAGGCGATTGTTTAAGCATGTATGGGTTAGAAAACGGCTATTTTT